CTTATGACAACCAAGCATTTTTTTTAAAGTGTGTTTACAACTAGGGGCAGCAGACTTACTGATTTTGGGGCCCTAAGGAATTTGAGGTATGGAGCCCTAGCATTTTTGAAAAGAAATTTACAAATTAGGTTATTTATATATAAAACGTATTTTAATTATTTAAAGTATATTTATATATTTTAATATTTAAAGGAACCTATCTTCTTAATGTAATGTTAAAAGCAATACATTTACCAATTAAAAAATAAGTTAACTTACTTAAGTTAAATTTAACATTTGTTTGTCTTATCATGAGTCACTGGTGGTGAGTCTTCAATAACAGCTTTACTTGCACAATTTCAGATCTGTCAGGTTGATTCCTTCTGCAGAATAGCCATGTACCTGCTAAACTTGTCATGATGTCCATCAACAGACGTAAGTTATAGCTCCTGCTACAACGTTTTACCGCCAGGCCAGAAACAGCTTTATTAACCGTCAAACTTAAAACAATTAACGTTCGTAAGTCTAACTTAAATGAATAAATAAATAATAACTCTTGGGTATAAGTAAAAAAACACAAAACTAAGGTGAAAATAAAAACTAGGGGGGAAACTGCTAACAGCTAGCTCCCTTAGCGACACAAACAATGAAATGTCCCGCCTGGCTACCTCAGCCAATCAAATAAGAGGATCGGATTCAGAACTCATATTTTAAAATCCTTAGTATTTTTATAGTAATATACAGAATATTTACGATGTTAAATTCACAGTTTAATACCAGAAGAAATAACTCTAGCTGAATAAATGTAGTTTAGTTTGGTTAAAATGCACAAGCAGCATTGCTGTCAATCACCACACCCCCTTGAATGAGAATGAGAATGTTTATTTAAAAATCAAAAGTATGCTTGAACGTGGACACAATTGTGTTGTTTCTGGAAGTTAAATAGCCCTGTCGACTCTAACCAGGAAATTTAGTCTTCCTGTGATTCAGATGTTTCACTGGGTGAAATCAACATCTGCGAAAACAAACGTCGACATGCTGAATGATTGTATTATCACAGTGTGCCTAGCAGATTTTTAAGATTATGGTAAATCATTCACGCGCATAACTTAAATTCTGTGCATGATAAATATTATTTTCTTAAAGGGTCTGGGCAACCTGATGGAAATTGTGTCAGAAAGATTGTGAAATGCCGCCATCTTGAGGAAAAGTGGTTTGAAAGAGGCCTCAGATTGTGGCATTAAAAGGTTCAACTAAAATTTAAATGTACTAGTCTCCCTCAGTTGTTATGAGATTATTTTCTCTGCTGTGCACAAAAGAAGATATTTTAAAGAAAGCTAAACCTAACCATCAACTTTCATAGGAAAAATAAATACTATGGAAGTCCATGTGGTTGCAGGTTTTCAGCTTTCTTGAAAATATCTTCTTTTGTGCTCAAGAGAGATAAAAATAACCCAAACAGGTTTGGAACGAGTAAAGGGTGAGTAAATAATGACAGAATTTTTGGTTTCTGTTAATAAAATTAGCCATCTTATTTTAAATCATGTTTATACAAAATTACTGCCATTTCTATAACCATTTACTAGTGTAGCAAAACCACAGGTAATTTGTGGTTATTATTTAATATAAAAAACATATATGTTAGGTTTTACTTTTATGATAATTGATGATGATGATAATTATTTATTAATTATTTACATGAGTTTTTGATCATTTTTTTCATTCTGTATAAAACTAAATTAAGCAAATATAACTAAATTAAACTGAATTAAGCAAAAGCAGAGTATTTTAGTACTGAAATCATTTGTCTTGATCATAGTACTTGAACTATCAGATTATTTATCTGTATTATCTTCTGTATAGCACAAAGGACTAATCAACATCGCTCCAAAAATCCATCAGAGCAGAAGTGGGCAACGCTGAACAACTTCCCTTCAGTTTATGTAGATTTATTCAATGTGCTGAGATGGCGAAATGAAGTCAACAATCATTCATAATCAAAAAAAATTGAATTCTTGAGATCATGTTGGAAGGAATGAAATCTTCTTCATTCACAACAAGTGCAATGAATAATACTCTGACGCTTATTGTCCAAGTATTCAGCTCACTGATTTAGATAAACCCTCTGCTTGCCATACTGGATTTGTGAATCTTGCACTGGAAATTTCAAGAAGAGTGCTTCTGCACAACTGGGAGGCTGCAGTATCACCTTAGGTCCCCTTATTATTTGGCCTTACCCCACACCGCCCACCAAACCCAACCACAAATCAGGAACAACATGGAAATGTGGCAGGTCCTAGAAATGTGACCCTATAAATGAGTTTCAGACTCTCTGGTTGTGCAGGAACATATACTATTTATATTTTCTAACCACATTTTTTCTGTGCATGACAGATAATTAAGTTCTAGATTACAATTAGCTGCTGCCTGAGAGGGAGTGCATAAACAACAGTGACAAAATTGGTGAAGAAATGATTTTCACTCAAAAATGGCTGGTAAATTTGACAGTAGTAAGAAACAGCAATCTAACATTCAATTTCAAAAAACAGTCCATGGACCAAAACAGACTTTTCTGAAAAACTGTACGGTGCATAGAATAACAGAATTTATCAATTAAATTAGACTAGTGCAATTTTTCTCAACCATGACCACCAGCTCTGCTCATTTTCCATGTCTCATTAACCAAACACACCTAATTCAGATCATCAGCCCATTAGCCGAGACTAAAAGACCTGTTTTCTCAGAGATGGGTTGCGGCTTAAAGGGCATCTGCTGCATAAAAACTAGCTGGATAAGTTGGCGGTTCATTCCGCTGTGGTGACCCTGGATTAATAAAGGGACTAAGCCGAAAAGAAAATAAATTAATGAATGAATGTTACATAAATAGTAAAACATGCTTTTACAGATGTAAGCTAGGCATAGATAATAGATTCTAAACAGAAAATGTACCACATAATGACTAAATTATGATTATGAAGGTTTTTTGGTCACCTTTTCCTTTTGAAAACCTCTATTATTTGGTCCATCACAGATTATAGGATTTTAAGGGTGTCTGATTACATCAGCTGCAGTAAATTGTGTTTGGGATGTGCATTTAATGGGATAACCAGAGGAAGAGAACAGGCGGAAACCTCATCTACCCGTTACAAAGGAGGTAATAATCATCCCAGTCAAAGATAGCATTCAAGGGTTTCCACTTTCTTGTTGTGTCAGAGGACTGGATGTAAGGTGTTCAGAATACATTGTGGTCAGCAGTGTGGATAAACATATAGTAGACTTGCACTTATGCTGATTGGACTAATTATAATTTTAATTATGACACATTTGCTATTGACAAAAATGCTTACCGTAAATTAATTTTTGTTTTCATTTGCATTTCTGCAGAACTTAAAATATATTAATAAATCATTTTTGCAATGACAGACTACTCCCAGTAAAATGTCATTTGGTTTATTAATAGTTTACACCCCCCAAAATGTCAGTAAAATTTAGAACAACATTCATTTATTGGCTTGGCACAGTCCCAAAATACTATCATCTTAATTATTTAATTAATAGGCTATTTATACTTCGCCACTATGCTTCAAACTATCAGGTTTTACTCATTTCTCAGCAAAACGTTTGTAATAATTGAAAATATAATATAATGTATTATAATTGTTTATTTTGTTTTTTGCATGGTAGGCTATGTTGTTCCATTAATACATAAATACACTCACCGGCTACTTTATTAGGAACTTCTGTCCTGCTTATTAACGCTCATTTCTTTTCAGCCAATCGCATCACAGCAACTTAATACATTTAGGCGTGTAGACATGGTCAAGACAATCTGCTGCAGTTCAAACTGAGCATCAGAATGAAGAAAGAAAGGTGATTTAAGTGACTTTGAAAGTGGCATGGTTGTTGGTGCCAGACTGGCTGGTCTGAGTATTTCAGAAACTGATTATGTACTGGGATTTTCATGCACAGCCATCTCTATGGTTTACAGAGAGTGGTCCAAAAAAAGAGAAAATATCCAGTAAGTGGCTGTTCTGTGGGTGCAAAGGCCCTGTTGATGCCAGGGGTCAGAGGAGAATGGCCAGACTGGTTGGAACTGATAGACAGGCAACAGTCACTCAAATAACCACTCGTTACAAGCGAGGTATAAAGAAGAGCATCTCTGAACACACAACACGTTCAACCTTGAGGCAGGTGGGCTACAGCATCAGAAGACCACAAACGGGTGCCACTCCTGTCATCTAAGAACATGAAACTGAGGCTACAATTTGCAAATGCAGGCTCACCAAATTGGACAATAGAGGATTGAAAAACGTTGCCACGTTTTATGAGTCTCGATTTCTGTTGCGACATTCAGATGGTAGGGTCAGAAATTGGCATCCACAAAATGAAAGCATGGATCCATCCTGCCTTGTATCACTAGTTCAGCATGATGCTATCATGTCAGTATGGACCAAAAGTTCTGTGGAATATTTCCAGTACCTTGTTAAATCTATGCCAAGGATTAAGGCAATTCTGAAGGCAAAAAGGAGTCCAACCCTTACTAGTAAGGTGTACCTTATAAAGTGGTCGGTGAGTGTATTTGCTGTTATCCTCAAGTATAATGCAACATTTCATACAGATTTTGACATTTTATTCTTAAAAAATATTAGTGTAAGTTGATTTTTACAAGTTAATTTAGGCGCTTTATTTTAAATATGATATCTACATAAAATCGCTTTTCAAAATTTTATTTGATGCAACCAATAAATGTTTTTTAGACCCATTAAAATATATTAATTTACACGCGGGAATAAACCGCGAAAAATTACCAATCCATTTCCATAGAAACGCCTTTCCAGCGTTTGATGATTTAGTGGGCGTTAGCCAAATCTGAGTAAACGAGTGGCTGGTGTTCATATGATTGACAGTGCCTGTGACCAATAGACGTCAGGAAATAAAGGGACCCACCAATGAAATCTAGAGATAAAAACAATCTCCTTTTCTATTGGACTACAACGCTCAGCTTCCGTTTTAAACGCAAAATAAAGAAGCGGTTTGTTTTTTGTTTTTCGACCCTTCATTTTCAGAGTTGTGTTCGACATTTGTTCTTTGCGTTTTTAAAGTTAGTCAACGTAATAAATACAAAATGTAAGGATGATATTTTGCTGCTTACTGTCAATTTAAGGTTGATTCTGCAGGTTTAATCGAAGTTTTATCTCACATGGCAAAGCAGGGAGTATCAAGACTAAAGGTGACTGTGACTTTATTATAACAGTTCATTGTTATACATTAAATGAGCTGTTATGCAGTGTTTTGTTTAAAAACTAAAGGAAGCGATGTTTTGCAGGTGGTCTCATCAGGCAGACTGACAGCTTCTGGACGAGGACAAACACACAAGAAAAAGTAACACAATGAACAGATAATACATTGAGTAAAACACAGTAACACATTGAGGTAAAGTTGGCTTTATATTGAAACATTCAGAGTTTCCCCCAGTAATATAATGTCAGAAAATATTTTTTGCTATTTCTAAATAATGAAACATTAGCAGCCAATGACTATCAAAGTACATAATTGTTCACAGCCAAATAAATAGTGTAAATGCTGTTTTAAAGTCATACTTGCATGAGATTTCACACTGAATATTTCAAACTACTGTTGTAAACAATATAGGGACTGGAGCATATACATATATAGTGATCAATAAAAGTATCTCATAAGAATGCATGATGTGAGTGATATATGCTGAACAGATTTAGGCAGCTAAAGTGTGACTGTTCAGTTTGAGTAACTTAATAACCTGTATTGTTTACCATGCTACTTTGAATTTTTGCTCTGAAATCGGACGCAGGTATGACTTCTGAACATAATTAGCACTATTTAATTGACTGTGAAAAATGTTGTACTTTGATAGTCATTAACTGTAATATGACTTCCCTATTTAGCATTTGCAAAGAATACTTTTCTAACATTATATTAAGAGGGGGAAAGTCTGAAAATGGGAATATGAAACCAACGTTACCTCAGTATCAGTTATAGATGCTATATGAAACGCATTTATCATACAGAAAATGATGTCTGGTTTAGGGTTGCTGGGACGTGTTTGTCTCCTCTTGAACCAGGATATTCACTTTATTCTACAGACTCTGAAGACCAGGTAAAAAAGCCACAAACATGAAGATGTTATAGACACATTTATATTCCCGTGTCAATATCTGACATATAAAATTGCATCCAAGGTGACAACAATCCACAAGGGACTTGACCGATGTGCTGCTTTACTCGATGGGATACTTCAAGCTGAACAAACTGGTATTGTATTTGTGAAACCAGATGTTTTCTTTCTGTTAATCAGTTGATTAGTTTTATGACTATTCAATTATATTATAATTTTCAGAATCCAAGCCCAAACCACAGGGAACAAAAACCTGCACCTTTAAGTCAAAACCCAAGAATCTATCAAGGAAATTTGAGACCGACAACAAGAAAAAGCATTGGAATAAGACAAAGACGGCTATACATGCAAACAAAAGGCCAGGTAATGTTAAGTGATGTCAGTTAATATACAGTAGTCAACATATGAAGTGGTTCAAAACTTTTTTGCTATAGTTGTCCTAAAACAATGCTTCCCGAGCTCTGTCCTGGAGGGCCGGAGTCCTGCCTGGAAGTTTCAAGTATACCTAGAAAGAGCTTGATTAGCTGGTTCAGGTGTGTCTAATTGGGGTTGGAACTAAACTTTGAGGGACACCAGCCCTCCAGGACAGAGTTTGGGCACCCCTGTCCTAAAAATGTTAAACAACACCCACAATTTTCACAATTTTGAAAATGTTGACTACTATACCAGAATCTGAAACTGAGATCATATACCTTAGTGCATATTTGAACAACATTGATTGGTCTAAGGAGACTGAGATCTATTGGTGTATTTCAGGTACTGTTGAACTTGAAGCCTACCTGTGATTCTGTAGTGTAATTTGTGGTCTTGTATCCTGTTATTATAGAAGCACACTACCAAAGCTTCACATCCTACTGTGCTTTTCTTACTGTAGCTCCAGTTCAGAAGAAGATTCTATCTGCCAAGTGTCATGTAGGTTTGGCAGGGCAGCTGTGTAGTCGTAATGATCAGAGCTCTGGCATCAGAAAGAAACAAGTGTCACATGATCAACCTTCAGGGCTGACCACAGAACACGGCCAGCAAATCTCACTTCCACTGTCCAGCTCTCAGCCTGCTGCCAGCTGTAATCATCCAGGTAAACTGATATCTTAATTAATTCATATAGTTTTTAAGAGCCTGCTCATCATGGTTATTTATTAAAATGTTCTGTACTTTAAAGGGATAGTTCACCCAAAAAATGCAAATTCCGTCTTTATGTATGTTCTGTTTGCTTGTTTCAAACTTTTATGAGTTAGATTCTTTCTTCTACTGAACCACAAAAGATTATATTTTGAATAATAGTTACATAGTTCTTCCTACTATGCAAGTCAATGGTTACAGAGTTTTCAGCATTAATCAAAATAAAGTTATCCTAACTTTGGAAACCACCTGGGGCCTCATGTACGAAGACTTGCGTGGAAATCTTACTAAAACATTGCGTACGCACAAACCTGTAAATGTGCGTACGCAGAAAAAAATTCAGATGTATGAAACACTGCGTACGCCGAATCTCACGCATATTCTTTTGTACATCTGAATGAACGTGAAACTGAGCGCAACATGCACGAGCACAAAACCCCTCCCTGCCTCCTCCCCCGTATGAATATGCTAATGACTATGCTAATGGAAAAACCCAACGAAAAAGCAACGGCAAAAGCAAGCAAAAAGAGAAACTTTGAACAGAATGTGAATTGGAGGTGCTGCTTTCGGAGGTAGACCGGAGAAAAGCGGTGTTATTTGCAAGTTTGTTCTCCGGAATTAACAACAAAAGAAAAAAAGTGGGAGTGGGAGAGTTTAGCTGATACGGTTAACACAGTTGGGTCTGAACATCGCACTGAGTGCATTTAAAAAAGATATAGTGTGGTTTATAACTGAAAAATGTTGCAGTACCCTTAGCAGTCTCAGTGGCGCACCTCATAAGAAGCATGTGATCATGTACTGACATGTTCGAGCATAAACTCGGCTCGAATCCAGCGTCTAATAAATTCTTTCTTTTTTTCCCCGCTACATATCAGATTTTGCCCACTATTTATCAAGAGAAAGACAAGTAGGAATAATCAATAAGTTTGTGCATCATATTTTATTTGCACATTTATTGAATAGAAATGTTTCTGATTCACGCATGCAAATTCATCTTCAGATAGTGTCTTTATAGCAATGTTCGTGCGGTAGATCGCTCAGATTACATTAGGAAAACAGGCGACCGCTGCAAATTGTGCTTTAATGTTTAGCTGGTCAACTGTATGGTATGGAAATCTTACATACCTACTATATGAACCCGTCTCATACAGCTGCCATTGCAAGGATCAGACACTTTGTAGAGAAGAATTTAACACAACTGCCTCTAGGAGTCGCCAATGGAAATAAAACAGACACGCACAAAAAATGTGTGTACGCCTGCCAGAAAGCTGCCGTGAACCTGCGCACATTCCCACGTTCAGTTTATTGTTAGTAAATCCAAACGTGAGTGATTCTGAGCGTGAAACCTGGCGTACGCAAAGTTTTTGTGCGTACGCAGCGTTGATACATGAGGCCCCTGATGTTTGGAACCACTTCAGGTTGTGTAAATATTGAGTAAGTTGTCATTTGTATTACTTCTATGCAATCATTGATGTCTTCTCTGTGTGGTTCCTCTCTGTGTTTACAGGTCAGGTTCACACATCTACTGTATTTAACACTCGACTGACAACCTCCACACCTGCAATGAGCCCCCAGAGACCAGGATCAGCACCCACTGAACCTGTATGTCTACTGGACTTTATTCCACTTTGCAAAAAATATTATTTGCATTTAAAGTGCTGAGTTCAGATAAAAAATAATAATGTACTCTCCATCATGTGGTTTTTAACCTTTAAAGATTTTTTTTCTGTTGAACATAAACCAAGATATTTTGAAGTATACTGGTTGCTGGTACCAATCAACTTCCATAGTACAAAAAAAAAAACAATAATATGGAAGTCAATGGCTATCAGCAACTAGCATTTTTCATAATATCTTCTTTTGTGTTCAACAGAACACATTAGATAAATTTTAATAGATTTCAAACAAGTGAATGAGTAAACCATGACAGAATTATCAGTTTTCAACTCTCTCTTCAATAACATGATTACAGACTAATTAAATAATGAGCAAACCAAATTATTTGTACATTATCAGCATAGTTAGATATAAATATATACACTCACTGGTCACTTTATTCGGTACACCTTACTAGTACCAGGACCCCCTTTTACCATCAGAACTGCCTTAATCCTTTGTGGCATAAATTCAAGAAGGTACTGGAAATATTCCTCAGATTTTGGTCCATATTGACACATTAGCATCACGCAGTTGCTGAAGATTTGTTGGCTGCACATTCATGATGGGAATCTCCCGTTCCACCACATCCCAAAGGTGCTCTATTGGATTGAGTTCTGGTGACTGTGGAGGCCATTTAAGTACATTGAACTCATTGTTATGTTCAAGAAACCAGTCTGAGAGGATTTGCGCTTTATAACATGCCGCATTATCATGCTGGAAGTAGCTATCAGAAGATGGTACACTGGTCATAAAGGGATGAACATGGTCAGCAATATTACTCTGGTAGGCTGTGGCCTTGACACACTGCTCAATAGGTACTAAGGGGCCCAAAAGAAAACATCCCCCACACCATTACACCACCTCTACCATCCGAATCTTGCAGCAGAAATCGATACTCGTCTGACCGGACAATGTTTTTTTAAAATCTTTTTTTTGCACAATTCAAGGTTCAAAGTTTTGTGCATTCAGAGATGCTCTTCTACATACCTCGTTTGCTGCCATATGATTGGCTGGTCAGAAATTTGTGTTAAGGAGTAATTGGACATAATAAAGTGGCCGATGAGTGTATTTTTTTTATCAGTATCAATTTTAAAGCTGTAAGCTGATGTGTCTTCTCAAGATTCTTCTATTTATAAGAAGTTCAAAAAAATCTATGTTTAATAGCAATATATATTTTTAATTATACAAGTCTTCACTGTTTTTTCAAATGAATATATAATTCCTGTATAAGAAATATACATTTTAATTGGTGACCTTAAACTTGTGAAGGATAAAATCTTGTGACTAATTTTTTTTGGTTTCTTGAAAACTGTGAGTTTTATTTTATTCATAATATTTGCTTTTGTACTTGTTTCATTTTCCGTCAGTTTACATCAAAGTGTACATTGAGCAGTGGTTGCCCATCTGAAGAGTTTCATCAGCTGAGGACAATGAGTGCTGCCATCCCATCCTGCCCTCATGGGTCTGTGGAAATATCTGGCATTTCAAACAAGCATGCTGCTACTTTCTCCATGCCATCAGCAGCTCAGCGACAGACTCCAGTTGCAGTTTCTCCTGTTCATAATGAATCCTGCACTCCAGTACCAGCCAGCCCAGTCAGCAGTGTTCATGAGCTGGGGTCTGTGGAGCCAAGTGTCTCATTGGCATCTTCCGTTGGATCCTTGAGCTGTTCCTCGTCGACGTTAATCGAAACACAAATGTCCATCCAACCTCAGGTCAGCCACAGTTTAAAAAATGGAGGATTCCACACAATTTATTTGTGTTGTCTCAACACAAATCAGTTAATCATTCATTTAACTTGATTGTTTTTACAAATTGAAGTGGATTGAACATAAAACATTTTAAGTTGTCCACCCAAAAAAAACTTAAGAATTGGGTTGTTTTAGCTAATTTTAAATAAATAGTTTAAACAAGCAGCTAAAATCGTTTTTTTTTTATTTTTTTTATTGCAGGCTCAGACCACTCCTGATGGAGCAGTACTGATGGTTTGCAATGGCCAGGGGAATTTGAAAGAGGACAACGGTAGTGCAGAGGATGAAATGGAAAAGCATGGGAAGGACATTACTCCTGTCAGGGACATCAGCTGTCAGACCAGCACTGAGACATTAACAGCTCTGACTCACAAAACCAAAGCCAGTCCAGAGAAAACCGCACAGAAAGTCATGACTGTTAAATATCTGCTGGGAGAGCTGAAGACTTTGGTTGCCAATCATGGTGAGGATATTAAATTATATTTATTTTGTCTCCTCCCTCTGACTTTTATAAGAAATTAAATCAGGATAAACTCAAAAACCTTATGCTGTGTGTCCACCGAAGCATTTTTGGCAAGCAGAAAATGGCTAGCTTTAGAGGATCTGTTTTCAACTAGAGCAAGGTAAACAAAGAATTACTTCAAGAATTTTTCCTAATAATATTGTCTGAATATGTCATTTGGTATGGATACTTGTAGACAAGCTATAATGGTTTCTTCTTTGTTGTTGTTCAGTCACTCTACAGGCAGAATGTGACTGACTGGTAATAATATTTGTACCACCCCCTCAACTATGATTGGATGGTTGGTTAGAAAAAACAATACTAATGAGGGCTTCCTGTTATCCAAATATAGATATGCTCTTCTAATTTTTCTCTTGCCGTTTTTATATACGTGACACTCCATTTGAAAACATTGTAAAATTAAAAAATTGCTTTCCTTTCTCAGCTTTGATGAAAGTTTTTACGCAATTGCATGCCACTGTTCAACTGAAAGCGCGCATGCGTGTGTGTGTTTTGGCTATTCATTTACATAAAAGCAGAATATTAGCCTAGAAAACCAAACATCAGACAATGGGTTTCAAAGTGCCAATTTTGCTACAAACTGCAAAGTTATTTTATGAAAGTAGAGACTAGAGTTGTCGCGATCCTATTAGGTAATCTTTCGATACTATACTAGCTGAATATACAGTGCATCTGGAAAGTGTTCATAACACTCCACTTTTTCCACGTTTTTTTATGTTACCGCCTTATTCCAAAATGCATTAAATTCAATTATTTCCTCCAAATTCTACACGCAATACCCCATAATGACCATGTGAAAATTTTTTTTAGTTTTTAATTGTTGCAAATTCACAGCCTTTGCTCAATACTGTGTTGATGCACCTTTGGCAGCAATTACAGCTTTAAGTCTTTTTGAATATGATGCCACAGGCTTGGCACACCTAAACCTGTTTGAGTTACTTTCGAAGAAAAGAAGATATTTTGAAAAATGCTGGTTGCTGGACCCCATTGACCTCCATTTTATTTGTTGTAAGAATGTTGTAAACCAGCATTGCTTTCCATAATATTTTTAGGAAGAATTTAATAAATGTTTAGAACCAATCGAGTGGAATAAAATAGTGAGGAAATGTTAATTTTTTAATGAACTTTTCTTTTAATATGCAAAAACATTTTACCATTTGTCAACTCCTTGTTCTCTGTTGTTGTGATCAGAATTTTGCAACGGGTCTTATTATACGGTCATCTCTTTTTTTTTTTCTTTTTTCTTTTTCCTGATCTGTATATTTGATTGATGGAAGCAAGATCTTATTTCAACCCTGAGATGGTTGGATCTAATTCACTTTCTGTAATATAATATACAATATAATGTAATAAAATGGAACCTTCAGATGCGAGGAAGGATCGAGTTGCTGGTTTTGCAGATTCATGAAACATGCAGCAGATTTTTCCCTATTACAGTATCTCTGTATGACTGTGTTGTTTTTCTGCAGATGGTGATGCCGTGCGTCTGATCTCCGAGGTGGAGCAGAACATCTCACTTCTTCCTGTCATGGTGGGCAGCACCAACATCCAGGCTGAGATTGCACTCGCCGTACAGCCACTCAGGAGCGAGAACGTACAGCTGCGAAGGTCAGCCATTTGAAGAGTCTATAAAACACCCCTTACTGATAAACAGTTGAATTTTGCCATTTTTTTAATCCATTCAGCTGATCTCTGGGTCTGATAGGAACACTTTCAGCTTAGCATAGAGCATTGAATCGTATTAGACCATTAGCATCTCGCTCACAAATGACCAGAGTTTCAATCAGTTTTCTATTTAAAGCTTGACTTTTCTGTTCTTGATTATTAATCCGCAATGAGAGTATAGTTCCTAGCCACAGTTTTCTGTACCTGAAAACTGTATCTGACTCCCTAGACTTTGTTTTATCTATGCTTGTGTTGTATTTTATGAAGATGCACTCCCTTAAAAAAAATCACGCGAGTCATTTTAAAATAAGGAAGAACAAAACAATTCTAATCATTCACTAAAATAATTTTTTATGTTGCTGAAAACTAAATAGCACAGTGTCCGTTATTTCATTATCATGCGGCCATATTTGATGTACAAATTTAACCCTATTTCACTGAAGTAATGAATCATTCAGATAAAAAAAAAGTCAGTGTTTCATAATCAAGTCAGTTCAAAGACTTTGTAATCGTTACATTTAATCATTTAGCAGACTCTTTTGTCCAAAGTGATTTACAATTGAGGAGGCGTTCAGCAAGAAAGAAGACGACAGGCAAAATAATGTTTCTACAGGTGGTTTGTCAAACCCACTTGTGTATAGCGCAATTCATAACTGCAGTATTTTTTGCATAGAGATGGAGTGAATGTAAGTTCATGTCTGGGGCCAATGTGCAAAACTGGTTGAAGTGTTGGTTTAAGTGTCAGAAAGGTAAAAGTGTGTTTTCTACAGGTGGTTTGTCAAGCCCACTCACCTGTGTGAGGCACATTTAAAATTGCATAATTGTTTTTCAGGTTGTCTTGTAATGTGGTGGGGAGAGAGGAGGAGGTTCTGGTTTTGTCTGTAGGTCTGTAGATCGGTTCATTTGGTCCGGACCAAGGGCAACAAATGATACATTGTAGCATTTTCTGCCGTCTTTGGTTCCTTTTTTTTTTTTTTACACCACACATTGCTAGTGTAGAATTCAACTAGTTAAAAAAAATGCAGTCATCTGACAAAACCCACATCACTCATTGGCCAGATGTTATTAAATGCATATACTAAACTGTTTGCCTGTTTGGTAGTTCTGACCAAGCGAAAAGCACAGTCGCTTTCGACTATGGAGGTACGACTGCACTGGCTGATTGTATCCCTGGTTATAGTATACTATATAGATTGTATACATCACTTTAGACAAACTATACATTTCGAGAATGAAGCGCGGCTGCAGTTGAAAAACATTGTTTTAATGCACTGCAAACGGCGATGGCGCATTGCAGGTCACTTCAGGACACTTGAATTAATTTAGCTAAACTGCGACTAGTCATCTTCCGGAAATATTACCAACGATTTATCAGGTAATGTTTTCTCAGTCTCTCTCTCTCTGTTGGTAAAGCGCTATCAACAAATATTTTTCCTTCACATTCCATAATGCACAGCGCATCGGCTTACAGCAGCTGGATTAGTCCAAAAAGGCACAGTATTTTTGCGGTTGGGTCTCTTTTAGTTTGGATCATATTGTCACCACAAACTGACCACTCCAGGGTTTGTTTGAAAGTGTCCTCTTCAAGGAGGTCAAGGTATGCTTTTTTTGGTCCTCTTTTGGTGCACACTCGAATACGAATCTGCATTCACACCTGGCCAAACGAACCGCACTAAGAGGAAAAACGAACTCTAGTGCAATTCAACTAAACTAAATAAGGCAGGTGTGAAAGAACACTTAGTTGTCTTTTGAATAATATTAGTGAATCAGGAGTCTATGTGGGAATGGGAAGATCATTCCAGCAATTCCACCTTTCCAGTTGCACAGAATGACATTAAAATATGCTGTTTTAGAAGACTATATTGTTTGGTTTGGCAGATTATGTTTTTAAGAAATATTAATTTTATTTAAATTAACCACACTAATTTTTTCCCCAGACGTTTGCGAATCCTCAATCAGCAGTTATTGGAGAGAGAAAGAGCAGAACGGCAGACAAGACCAGAAGCCTGTGACATGGAGGGTGAGCGAATATAACCCAATAAAACCCATTTTAAAGGCGCAGTATGTAAGATTGACACCCAGAGGTTGAACTAGGTATTGCACTCCTAGTTCAAAACCCCTTTTCACTCGGTGGCTCCTCTGACGATTCCACACAAGTGCAGGTTGCCAGATTGACAACACCAACAGGAGGGTGCCTGACTATCAAGCCTAAATAGAAGGAATATTTTGCATGTGAAAGGAAGTTTTTGACGGCGTTTAGCACAGCAAGAAGGTTGCTGGTTTGCGTCCCGGCTGGGCTAGTTGATATTTCTATATGGAGTTTGCATGTTTTCCTGTCTTGGTGTGGGTTTCCCCCACAGTTCAAAGACATGTAGTACAGTTTAATTAGGTAAACCGAATTTGTATAAGTGTGAATGTGAGAGTGTATGGGTGTTTGCCAGTACGGAAATGTATTGCTGTATATTCTCAGAATGTATCCTTCTATTTTCCTGACTAGCACAGTGGTTGCGATTTAAAGGGTTTTTTGGTTGTGTTTCAGTGGTTGCGTTGAAGTCTCTGAACCTTACTCTACAAACTCAGTTAAATGAAAGCCGTGAAGAGCTTGATGTTGTACAACAGGAGAACATGAGGCTGCGGAAAGCCGCGGAGGACAAAGACGGTAATTTGAAGCACCTGAAAGACTTGTGCGAGTTGGAGAACAGTCGGCTAAGGCTGGGTAAGAGTGCTCTCTGAGATTAAACTATCCCTTTAGGTCATTTCATGGGAACCGGCTTTGTTATTTTGATTATATGTTATTACGTTACACTAAATATGTCATTCCTTTGTAATGTTTTTATTTTACCCAATGTTTCTTTGTAAACTTAACTTTTTATTCTCTATTTTTGTTGATCGGTATGACTTCATTATAACACAAATCCTAAGTTATCATTTACTAATATTAAAAATGCACGACTGCTGTTAAATTTACAATTTAAAAAAATATATATTTTTTTTTCATGTAATTTATACGTATAGATGTGAGCGAGGCCTTAGCTGAGATGCAGAGCTGCCAAAGTAAACTCAAAGAATCTGAGACTGAAAAGATGGCACTGAATTTGAGTCTCCAGCAGAGGGAGGCAGAGATCGGCAAACTGCAGGATATCATCAGGTATCTGACTAAACTAGCTGTTAAAAGCTGTGATGGATGAAAAAAAAAGCAATAAATTGTAAAATTATTTTGAGTTGAAAATATCTTAAAGGTACAGTTCACTCAAGAATGGAAATTCTGTCATCATTCACTCACCCTTCACTTGTTCAAAACGCATGTGTTTCTTCTGTTGAACACTAAAGAAGATATTTTGCTGCTTTATGGGACCCATCGACTTCCATAGCAAGAAAAAAAAAAAGCACTCTTGATTAGGCATGGGCCGGATTCTGATTCTGACGGTATGATAACTGGATAAAAATATCATGGGTTCATGGTATTGTGATTACTGCTCTAAAATATATTCTTTTAAATGTCTTGGTAAAAAACTTAAATGTTTTCCCTTTGAACACAATATATTTTATTTTGAGAAACATTCATAAAATTTTGGAGCAGTAAAACATGTCAGGCTAAATATCATTAGCTTCTGCTGTCTCCATTTGTTTCAAAAACAATTTCATTACGATTTAAAATGGCATCCTCTGATATTTTTTCTAAAAAAAAAAATGTAAATAAAAAATCGTACAAATACCTTAGGAGCGGTATAGCAGAAAATGTTGGCGGTTTTAAAACCTTCAATTTTCAAAACCTCAGCATTTCTTAAAAACCTATGCCTACTATTGATGTTGATAGATCCCAGCAACCAGCATTTTTCAAAATATCTTCTTTTGTGTTCAACAGAAGAAACTTGTTTGTTTGAAAAGTGGGAGAGCTCCGGATCGGGCTCGGGCGCGGTTCAGTTGGCTGACCCTGGCCCGGTTGGAAGAAGTGTGCCAGAGTGCAGTTTGCTTGGCCTTTGGCATGTTACACTTGTAGTGTGAGTGCAAAACTTACCTGAGTGCGAAACTGAAGGCCTGATATAACTCTTAAGGGACCGTTTCATATGGATTTATTAATCATTCTTACTTTTTAATGAACTCAACTGTCATAGTTTATCAAAGATGCAAACCCACCGCTGAATGTCAGCTGCAACCTTTAGCACAATGACTTTCCCTTAAATACCTTTATATTTTATTCATATTCTCCTACAAAATCATTACAATCACTCTATTAATTTCATCTGGTGCCCTTTATACTCAATATCACATTATGTATTGCAAAAAATTAAATATTAATATTATTTTTTCCCTGTAACGTGCCACCATATTTTAGTGCACTTCACTGTAGTTTTCGTATATGCCTACATGAACTAAAGGGAGGGACAAATCTACCAGCTTCTGAAACAAACTAATATATAATATTTTAACCAATGTTGTAACCAATCTTTTTCCTACATACAGAAATCTGCAGAAAAGTCAAACAAACGTGAGCTATTCTCCTCACCAGGATGTGCTTCAACCAAACTCCCAGCTCACTAAGAGTGTTCTGGAACTGCATGAAGCTGCGGCATCAGATAAACCTTCAAATTCAGTTAAAACCTACCTTCAGACTCTGGAGGACATCAGACAGGCCTCTCCTTCCAACCACATTAAATGTAGGTCAGAGAAATTACATCCAGGTCAAACTGATGGTAAAAACTATGACATTTTACTTTCAGATACAAAAATCTGCTTAAAAACAGATAGAGATATACACAAACCAACCCTGGAAACCATAGCTGAGGACATGCCACAGTTAGAAGATCAGAAAAAAACTGTGTTTGCTCCTTTAAGAGAGACTCCATTGGTGCAGCTTGCTTGTAGTGATCCATTAACTCACTGTAATCAGCAAATAGCAGCCAGAAATCACAGGAAAGATGTGGATGTTGAGCTGAAATATGTGGGCCGTGGTCTTGAAAAGCTGGACATCTCTGGACTCCACATTCAGAATGCCACATGTGAGGGCCGAGATTATCTTGGTGTGGGTTTACATTTAAATCAGCAAAATAATGGACTAAACAATCAACCAGTGCAAACCCAACATGTCCATCGATTCCCACGGTTGGCTGTTCAGTCTGCTTACACTGGACGACCTTCAGCGATGGACAGCACTATTTCCTCGTGTGATATTAAATCTTTAGCCTCTGATTGGAGCATAAACTCCTGGTCCACATTTAACACACAAGATGAGCAGAATTTCAGGGACGGGCTCGCAGCACTTGACGCCAGCATAGAAAGTCTGCAGAAAACCCTGAAAGTTGATCTAAACAAATAATTTGGTATTTTAGCGTGCACTGCGTTTTTAGTTTGACTACATGCAATTAATGGGTGTTTTTATTTGTTTCCCTTTTTTTTTTTTTTTAAATTAAATTATTATATGAAGTTATTGTGTGGGACTATTTTCAGGCGCTGTGTGGTATCACTGCACTTGCTGTAGCCATGGTAAGGCAGCAAAGTCTCTTGATTATTTCATCGAAGTGATAATATAGTTCCTAGCCATCGTCCTTAAATATTGACTTCATTTTCCATTCATCAGCGTGTAGAGAGGAGTCCAGCTTTGAAAAGAATAATAATCTAAACTCTGGTCATTTTTGAGCGAGATTTTAATCTCAAAGTATAATCCGCCAAAACTGGAGATTGGCTGAATGGATTAGAAAATGGTAAAACTCAGCTGTTTAACTCTAGAAAATGAGCCCATTTGGAGTGTTCCTTTAGTAAACTAGTTAAAGGGCCATAAAACCCTCCCTGTCTCGGCAGGGTATTTTTACACCTCTAGTTTGGAAAAAAAGGGGAGTTTCAGTATGTGCACATGCTGATTTTTACTCTGGCGACACAAACACAGACGCAAAGTTATTCGGAGAGCAGCTTTTACAGTGGATCTGAGAACTGTGTGGAATTGGAGGATTTTTAGTTCATAATATTGTAGTGATATTACTGTAAACTTAGTATCTAAATCATTTTGACCAAGGGTGCACTCACATAATGCTATCTGAATCGTGCCCAGGCACATTTCCCGTTTCGTTTAAGAAGTGCGAGTGCACTGAATCAAGCTCAGGCACCGGAGGTTGGAAGAGGTTTGCTAGAACGCGGTTCAGTTGGGCTTTGTCACGGTACACTTGTAGTGTGACTGCGAAGCACGCCTGACCTAGAAACCGAAGACGAGACGTGACTTTTAAGGGACTGTTTCATATGGATTTATTAATCATTCTTAACTATGACAGTTCACGTTTATTGAGAATTTAGTAAAAAGTAAGTCTTTTGCTTTTGAAGCACGTCAGCCTCAACTTCCGCAAACCTCCTAATACCTGCAGCATGAAGACTTTTATGATAATTTATGAGCGTTAGATGTTCGGGAAAATGTTTGACTGTGTGTCATGGACTAAAAATAATACATAACGATATAACTAAAGCAATCTTTACTGTGCTGAGCGAAAGCGCTTTTCTTCCTATTTAACTTAAGTCGCATCATCGATAACATAAGCGTGCTCCAGTTCAGTAGGTAAAAAATGCATTGTGAGTGCAGGTCGAGAGAAAGGAAAGGGGACAATCGTACTTCGGTAACTGTACCTATTGTGAGTACGCCCTAAGGTATGTCTTAAGAGTTCCGCTGACGATACTAACTAACTTTGCCTTCTGAATAAACATAAAGAACATTAATCACACACTTGCCAAATCTGTAGAGACAGGACAATCAACATGTACTGGAACCGCGTCATTTTTTTTTTTTTTAAAGAAAATGAGTGGCAAATCCGCATTTCCAGATTTAAAAAGCTCTCGGATAAAAAAAAATGTTCCTTACAAACATATTTTTGTCCCATATTAGCAGACCACTGTAATCCAACTGCTTGGGTCCTCATGCAGGCTGTGCTCTCATCGCAGAGAAATGGAAACAAAACCTTTATTGCGGCACATTTATAAATGGAACACTAACGACCCATGTTGTGAACACTGCTACTTGTTTGAAGCACAGTTGGCAACACAACATGGCGTCTCTCTGAACACTTTAACAGGTAAAGAGTCTTCTAAGTGATATCATGCATATTAATGAAGTTGCTTCTTATTCACAATAGAGCACACTGATTGGTTAGAACCAAGTTTTACTTATCAATTAAAGAACAGATGTGCTGAAAACTTAATGAAGTCACTTAGTACTGGCCAGTACAGACAGCCAATCTCCATGCTAGAATTTACACAATGATCTCATCGCCGTGACACTGCTCCAAAATTTCTTTTTAAAATGGTAGAACGCAGGTTGTTATGGTAAATAAATGTGTCCTAATAGTGTTTTTAGCTGCGAGGGACACATATTACTGTCAACATCTCAAAAAATGTGTTTTTGGTGTTTCGTGACCCTTTAAGTACTACCATTGATCCGTTGAGATGGTTTAAGCTGTTGATCAAGATAGCACAACAGCTTGATTTTTGAAAAAATAATGCGTGGTTATTGATTGCTTCTGCCTTCAATTAAAATTTATCCAGAGATAGAACAAAAAATAGAGGACCCCTTGATGAACAAGTTAGCAGCTTGACCATAGCTAAGTACATGAAGCGCTATTGGTTTAACTGTTAGAATAATTTGTAATGACTTTATGTGCTTTATATGGACTGCAGGAGCCCAGAACCTGAATTTTATACTCTTCTTTGGTTTTGTTCAGTTGACAAAGTATCCAAATATTCATTGCTTAAGTCACAATAAACTGTTGTTTTGCTTTTCTACGGAGATCCCATTTGAGGGAATATTTTTGCCCGCCTGGGTTGCATAGACCGAGTCTAGAATGCAGCACGTTAGAAGAAACCAAAGTTCTCAGGAGATATCGGCCAAACTGAGGTGGGCAACCTCAGGGTTGAGGGCAGGAAGAGGGGAATCCTAGGTCGAAGCCACCGATGAGCCTGATTAAGGGGATGACAGACCACAGAGCTGCAAGCGAAGGGCTTGTAATGGATTACAGGACGTGTGCAGATGGGCTTTCAGCTAAATGGATGTGTGGTGCTGGAAAGTTAAAGATGGCCAGGCTGTGTTGAAGCAAGTTGAACTTTGCTTGACTCTCCAGGACACGGCCCTCCAGGACAGAGTTTGGACACCACTGTCTTTAAGGATAATCGGTATGTCTCTGCAGTTCAGAATCCTTCTATTATTAATTTTTTGCGTACAACAATAATTGAACCGTGCTCATATCATTGCAGGTAACAATATCAATTTGCAGTTTGGGAGAAACAGGAACTGCTTAAGGAAAGAAGGGCAACCAAGTGGGAGCGGCATATTTGAGGGATCTTCGAGGAATATTTGCAGCCTGTTTGGAAGTGGAGGTGCTGTTGGATGTCAAGCTAATTGTTTGCTTGTAAGTCGTCATTCATGATGCGGAGGAGAAGTGCTAAGATTCTTTATCTTCTTGGTTTATTCTTAAAGACTTTTTTTCTTAGAACGCAAAATTACCCATTATGCTTTGCATGTATACGCTAGGAGGATGCTTCGAACTTCCAGTTGGCTGCAGATGCGTATAAACCAGGGGTTTCCACACTCTGTCCTGGAGGGCTGGTGTCCAGGAAAGTTTAGCTCCAACCCTAATCAAAGACAACTGAACAAGCTAATCAAGCTCTTACTAGGTATACTAGAAACTTCCAGGCAGATGTGTTGAAGCAAGTTGGAGCTAAGATCAGCAGGACACCGGTCCTCCAGAACCGACTTTGGACACCCCTGGTATTAAGTCACATTAGGACACCTTTGAAATTATAGTTGTAATCTATTTTCCTTGTTATTAATGTCTTTGAATTAATACTGCTGTTGATCAGTGCCACCTTCTAGACTGATCATTGAAATGTGATCTAATGGTAATTTTTCTCTCGTTGTCAGACGGCATCTTGTGCCGTTAAATGAAGCCTTGTCATCGCTAAAGTGAACATTTTCTCTTTCTTCAAAAATATAATCAACACAAACAAATGTAAATTACCAAAATGTTTGACACACTCGTAGCCTGTACTGTCCTACTAACACATTGATTGAAAAACTGACACAGTGAAAATAAAGTGGATTTTTGAAATTGCAGGAAAGCACAAACCATGGTAAATACTACACAGCACAAACTAACTAAATGAAACATAACTGCTCCTGATTAGAATCACCATGCAAATCAGCTAGCATAGTATCAGTAACTGACTTTTATTGGTAATTATTGGAAATTGCATGGCTTACATACCTGCTAGTTTCATGCCAGTAATATGGTTTGCTCTTTATAAAGCAGCAATCTTGTGTTTGTGCATTGAAGTACATTATAACAGCTGACAGGTCGGGAACACTGACTATATTTCAGCATCTGATCTGATGGCAGACAGTGAATCAGTAGAGCGTTTTTCTGTCACACTTGAACAGCATCTGACAAAGTATACTGTAATGCTTGAACACGCATCTTTCTTTTAAAATGAAAGTTTTGCATTACAAAAACACTCCATAAGCCACTGAAAACAGTATTAACACCCAGTTGGAAAACTCCGTGCTCTGGCTGATGACAATTCTTAAAAGTTCTAAGCACCCTACCAGAACATGCTGGTCACTATGGCACCCTCCATGCAGCAACAAAGAAAAAGGTCTATGTAACCAATAATAAAGATGCTAGTCACATCACAACTTGATGACATTAGTATTACTTTCATCACACATTTGTCTGTTTAATTCTGTAAGATACTACTGTTGCTGTTTCTACAGCCCAGTACAGTGCACCTATAACCATCAGCCCAGTGTGTCTCTTTGCCACCATCCATTGGATCCTTTACTCCTTGTTGAATGTGCCAACATACTAGAACTGCTATCAAATTCAGTAATTGAAACTTTATTAAATATTTGTGAGTGTAAGCACACTATTGTAATGTTCCTAGTATATGAAAGACAGCCAATAATAAAAAAGCATTTAATTTTATTTCAAATTAAAGTGGAGAGAAGCTTTAATAAATGTAATAGTAAGCAAGAGCTATCTTCTGTTGGCCAAGGTAGCAGGACAGCTTGATTTTAAGTGAAGTTTATTTATAAATTTTTTTCGAGAGGATCACGTGCTTGTGATTGTTCACAGCTGTTCCAACATTCGCTCGTGACTAATTATCCTATCAGGCGATTCTTAACTCACTATAAATAGCCAGACTTTTCTCATCTCCATATCTTCATCTTGAAGAAACCCCCCCACCCAACCCTACTTTCCCTCCTTTCAAACAGGCTACACGTTGGCCAGTGATTAGCGTTGTTGCCTTACAGCAAGAATGCCCCTGGTTTAATTTCCTTCTAAACCAGGCGACATTTCTGTGCGGAGTTTTTTTTAAAATTTTTTTATTTATTTATTTATTTTTTTTGCTCGTTCTACCCGTGCTCGCGTGGGTTATCCCTGGGTCCTCCGGTTTCCTCCCACAGTTCAAAAACAAGCACCCTACACAATTAATCCAAAATATTTTTAGCCAAGCTCTGAGTACACACTTCTAAATCTGACACTTAGCTACAATAAGCAAGAGGGGAGGTATCGAGATCTACCTGAGCTCAAACTCCCCTCTCGCCCTGCAACGGGAGGGAGCCCAGGGCTCGAGGATCCAAACAAGCTTTATTATCAATCATCAGCTAAGTGTGAACTCTTGAAAGATTTGATTAGAGGTTTGTGATTTTGTGTCTACCTTAAATAGATCTATGAGGAGTAGAAGAAATCCAAAAAGACATCAGAGATCTTGATTAACAACTTTTGCAGCTTACTATCCTGTACTTAATGAAAGTTAAGTTACTCTTGTAACTACTACAATCTGTATTCATGCATTACAGACACACTTTTGTTTGACATGGTTCTCAGATTCTGCATTTGTACAAAACATTTTGTCATTCTACATCTGATTACAGTTTACTCAGAATTTTAGATGTTGCAGAGTAAAATTTTAGGGCAGGGCATTGTCATTTATTTAGCACTTGTTTCTTTGCAGGCTTGATGTCACAATCTCATATGAAGACCCAGCTGGAGGACAAAATGGCTTTCCTCTACTGACTGCCATTCATTTTTCCCAGGTTTGGACTAATGTTGAAAGACTAAATTTAGTACATTCCTCGATGATCTGCACCGTATGCATATGAACAAATTTGCCCATAATATAAAAAGCCATTGCAGTTCTAATGTAATGTTTTTTTTTCAGGTCTCTGACCACTCATGTGACGGGGAAATATGAACTTTATGGCCATGTTGACTACACCAGGCACTGTTTTAAAATCAGGAAGGCTGGTTTTGGCTGGGAATGACATGACGGGTCAAGTTCAAGTAAAGAGCTTTTATTGTGAATTGTACCACACTGTATAGCAAAAGCAGTACACCGTGAAATGAGACAGTGCCGTTCCAGGGCCAAGATATTAGATAAAAAACTACAAAAAAAAGATACATCAACAACAACACATTACCAACGGTTAAAGAATAAACAGTGCAACACAGACAGTGTATCAAACAATTCAAAAGAAGAAACGGAAGCAGAAGCATTACATTTACCTGTAAACACAGTTCCTTTGATTAAGTGTGTGTGTTTGGAGGTAGTTCAGTTGATGCGGCTGCTCAGGATACTCTTGAAGGTCCCTCTATAGAGCATGTTCGGGATGGAGAGATGAGCTTTCCTTAGACAGCTACTGTTTTTTCAGGATCTGAAAAATCTCGACAGATGATGACAGTGTTGACGCACAGCACTAGAACTGGGTTAGTGTTGAGAATCAGCTCTGGTTTTCTTGTTGCGGACACATTTTCTCAGCAATCCCTTACAAGAAGCTCAGGCACAATGGTGTTTGTGAAAAAATGCTGTGTTGGAGTGTCATGAAAGGAAGGTCCACGATCTGGCAGCCTGAGTTGACATCCTTGCTTGAATCAAGGCAGTAAATGCAGAAAACTTTGGTTCTGCTTTGTCACTGAGGTGGCTGTGAAAAGGAGCTCATGTGTAAATGTTTCTAGCACATCAGTCTGAGTTGCTCTAGAAAGGAAGCGCTCCCTTCACAAGAATTTTTTGGACTATTGAGAATGGCAGCTCAGTGTTTGCCAGTTTTAAAACAGACCATTTTTGAAGGTCCTTGCACTACAAGTCAATTTATTTCAGCTTCATGCTTGCTGCTTCTGCTTGTTTCAAGTTTTAGGCAATGACATTTTCCGTCTCTTTTTTTCATTGATAAAATGAACTCTGCGGGTGTGGCTTTGAGAGCCAGCTCTGGTCCATTCATGTCAGGCTGCCAGACACTGAGCTGATGGAGGGGCTCTGAAACTGAGCTGACCTCCTCTTCATTTCTTTATTTGGTGACCTAAAACAAGCCCACAAAATACTGGTTGGTCTACATGCGTTATGCTTGTTACACTTGTACAGTATATAATAAACATACTGTATAAAAATGCTAAAAAAAAAAAAAGATATAAGAAAATGTAATACCTTGAACCAGCGATGGCTGCTGAGTTTCCCCAAAGCGATCCTCTTCTTGGGGCTCCTCTGCAGGCAGGACTGGACCAGTTGGCAGTACTCTGTGGAGAAAGATGGAGGAGTCTGATTATTATTACCTAAACTACATCTACTTGCTTTAATAATCACAATCCAAACAATAAGATTTGATGATGCTGAAACATGAAGGCCAAAACTGATGAACATCACTGAATTATTCCTCTGTGTCATTTAGATTTACAGTTGGCTTTCCTTGCTGACCAGCTCACCTTTTGACAATCCAGATTTGATCCAAGTTCTTTCATCTGTCAAGTCCAGGTAACTGTGTTTAGGAGGTTCTCCACACAGCAGTTCATATAGGAGAACCCCCAGTGACCAAACAGTTGCTGCTTTGCCAAAATCCCTGCCACAAGATCTATATTCGGGTGGACAGTAATCTTCAATCCCTGAAAAAAGAAGATTTTCTTCATTAGTGACAGTAAGAAAGCTGATGCTGTTCAAAATATGGTGTTGAAGAAGTAAAATCTCAAACTGCAGACTTGAACAATACAAACCACAAAATGTTGCATATGCTGAAGTCTTCAGAAGGTCACCGCAGCCAAAGTCGATGAGTTTTACTTCATGAGTTTCCTTGTTGATCAGCAGTTTTTCTAGTTTAATGTCCCGATGGAGGACCCCTCGCTGACAGCACATGTGGGCAGCCTGCACTACCTGCCACATGATGTGCCGCGCCATGTTCTCGCTGAGGGTTCCTCCGTGCCGCTCCAGGAAATCAAAAAGGTCTTCGCAGGGTGAGGGACGCTCCAAGATCATTGTGTAGGAGTCGGGACGCTCCTGCCACTCCAGCATCTGGATTATCTGAGGAACGGTCTGACCATTGTTGGCAAGAATGGTTAGAGCAACCTCTAACGGAAGGGGTGTAGGATGACCAGGCTGTAGAGGAAAGACATTTGTTGTTAGTGATGTTTAAAATCCTTTTTGGCTCTAATTAATACATCTTGAAATAAAAACCAAGAGAGCTGCTTACAATGCTGAGGTAATCCATGTCGCTGCTCTTCAAAACCACCTTCATTGCCACCTGATCAACAGAACAGATCATTAGGAATTGTAGCCCTGTGCTCTGAGCTCAAATCATCACAGTCATTCAACTTTTTCAATGTCATGTGACACAATAACCAGACTTGAACAGACACTGAGAGAAATATTTTGCTAGATGTAGAGAGTAAAAAAAAATACCTCAAGACCGTCCATCACACGAACGGCTTCAAACACTGTGCCGTATCCTCCCTGACCAAGCTTTTTCACAATTCTGTAGCGGCCCAAAATGTCATCTGCAAAAAATAAAACGAGTAAACATTACAGAGAACACACAACAAGAGGATTAAAGCTGACATTTTAAGTCATAATTTGATAGAATATTTGTCTTATTTTGAATATTTCGCATTTCTTCACAACTCAACTTGAGTAAAAGGCTTTTAATAAACCTAAAGTAGATAATTAACACATAATATATTAACATATGTTGTTGTAACACAGCATGAACATTATTGAGAACATTTGAAGGTAAATTTACTGTCAATGTCTTGATCTGGACCTTGAACCTGCTTACCACCAAGGGTGCTGCTGGAGCTGGATGTCTTGCTGGAGCTGGAACTGGAGCTGGCCTCGTCAAGACTCAGGCTGCTGCAGAATTTAAGTCCCAAACTGAAGACTTGAAGGACAATACATACCACAAAATGTTGCATATGCCGAAATCTTCAGAAGGTCACCGCAGCCAAAGTCGATGAGCTTCACTGCCAGAGTGTCTTTTGTTTATAAGCAGGTTTTCTAGTTTAATATTTTGATGGAGGACCCCTCGCTGACAGCACATGTGGGCAGCCTGCACCACCTGCCACATGATGTGCCGCGCCAATTCCTCGCTGAGGGTTCCTCCGTGCCGCTCCAGGAAATCAAAGAGGTCTTCGCAGGGTGAGAGACGCTCCAAGATCATTATATAGGAGTCGAACCACTCCTGCCACTCCAGCATCCGGATTATCTGAGGAAGATGTGACCATAATATTTGACCATAATCAGATACGAGGTCCAAAACTCATAAAAATTACTCTTGTGATTTAGATTAACAGTTGTCTTTCTTCGCTATAATGAATGGTCGGCTCACCTTTTGACAATCCATATTTTGACCAAATCTGTGTATCAGTCAAGTCCAGGTCACTGTTTTTTCTGGCGGTTCTCCACACAACAGTTCAAATAGGACAATCCCCTGTGACCAAACGGTTGCTGCTTTTCCATAATACCTGCCACTATATTAATATTCAGGAGGACCGTAATCTTCTGTGCCTGGAAAAGTAGATTTTCTATATTAGTGACAGTAAGAAAGCTGATGCTGTTCAAAATATGGTGTTTAAGAATTTAAGTCCTAAACTGCAGACTTGAAGGACAATACATACCAAAGAATGTTGTGTAGGCAGATGTTTTCAGGAGGTCACCACAGCCAAAGTCGATTAGCTTGATTTCATAAGTGTCCTTGTTGATCAGCAAGTTTTCTTGAGTTGATTGAGAAGAGTCAGAGGCGCATTTGCCACTTCAGCATCCGGATTATCTGAGGAACATTTATACCTTCGTTTGCAAGTATTGTTAGAGCAATCTCTAACGGAAGGGGTGTAGGATGACCAGGCTGTAGAGGAAAGACATTTGTTGTCAGTGATGTTTAAAGTCATTTTTTGACTCTAATTAACATATCTTGAACTAAAAACCATAAGAGCTGCTTACAATGCTGAGGTAATCCATGGTGTTTGTCTTCAAGATGACATTTACTGCCAACTGATTATCAAAACAATTAGCTCAATTAACTCAAATCATCACAGTCATTCAACTTTTTCTATGTCATGTGACACAATAAACAGATTTGAACAGAGACTGAGAGAAATATTATGCTAGCTAGATGTAGTGAGTAAAATATAATACCTCAAGGCCATCCGTCATGCGAACTGCTTCAAAGACAGTGCTGTAACCTCCCTCACCAAGCTTTTTGACAATTTTGTAACAGCCCAAAATATCATCTGCAAAAAGTAAATTATCGTGAACAATTTGCTAGAAGATTTCTCAAATATTTTGAATATTTACTTTCTTCACAGCTCGAATTAAATTGATAACTGAAACATTCGTTGATGTTTGCACAATCTGTAACATGAACATTAGCTACAAAGAACATATAAAAGTCAATTAACTGTTAAAGTCTTGATCCGGAACTTGAACCTGCTGATCATCAAGGTAGCTGGAGCTTGACGTCCGGCTGGAGGAGGTTGAACTGGAGCTGGCCTCTTCATCAAGACTCAGGACGCTGCTGGTGTCATGTTCCTTTACTTCATAATTCTCCACAGAGAAATCCCTGAAAGAATCATAATATTCAGTATTTCTCTCATCAGAGGTGACACTTTGAGCAGAGAAGTAATTAGAGGGTGACCTGCTCATAATTTTTGTCGGCTGCCTCTCATTTGCCTCAACGGGATGAAGATAGTTGATCGCCTCGTTGGGGCAGGATTTTGTTTGTGCATTAAGATGGAAATGGACTCTTCCACGTTTGCGGTTAGCCTGCATGTCTACTTTAGGTGCAGCACGGAGATCACTGTATGCGGATGGCGCAGGAGAGGACGATAGGTTACACTTGCTGTTTTAAAGAGTTTCCTCAGATAACCAAAAAGGACTTTAATCGAACCAAGAACATTTCTAACTATAGGTTATTACTTCATTTTCTGTAAGGATGGAGTGACAGAAGAGATCTGCTTTACTTGTTTCAGGTCGATAATGAAGTCAGAGAAGCTGCATAGTTTAAGTGGGGAGTTATATTTACACAGAATGACATGATGATCCAGCTCATCTACAAAGACATTTAAATGTTTCAGAAGAAGCTGTCTATATATTTCTTTTTTCCCTTTTTTACTTTTACTTGTCAAGATGACTATGGATTTAAATAAAACACACACAACTTTTAATTTAATAATTATCACCTACCTATTTTACCTCTTTTTCAAGATTTAAGAGAAGTCCTTTGTGTCTCCAGAATGTCTGTAAAGTTTCAGCTCAAAACACCCATCAGATTATTTACTATACCTTTCAGAATATTGGATTTACTGCCCTAAACACAATGTAGCTGTTTTGGTTGCCTGTGCTTTTAATGCTAGTTCTCCCCGCCCACCGCTCCCACATGCCTGTCAGAGTATCTCTGCCTCGACTGTGTCAGATAAACAGCACAGTGACAGACATGAAGAAAGCAGATCTTGCATAACGTTTGTAAGAAATACTACAGTAAAACACAGACACAGTGAGCGCGTTTAAACTTGCACTGTTTTTGTACGCATATGTGACAGGATATGTGTTTATATCCACTACTGTATGGATATCTATTATGTTGCTGTACAAAATAAACCTGATTTACCGTCAATTTATTCAGGGATTGATTTTTTGATTAATCAGGATAATGCAAATCAAATCACTAATTCTTTATTTTTCAAACTTGAATTTCTAAAAGAAGAAATGAGGAAGAATTCAAAGAAACTTATTAACTCTTCATCTGCAGTTAAATTTGCCTAAAGTTTATATTTATTGGAGATAGTCTAAAGACAAGGTATAACAGATGTTTAATGTACATAAACATGCATTTGACTGATGTGATTGTCTGTAAAAGTATCAACACAGATACTGTCAGAATAGAGAGAATAGCCAGAACTCCAATCATAGTGCTCATTAAATCTGAAATTTGCATTTATTTATTATTATTTTTGTTTAATTTGCATTTATTTTAGTTTTGTATAATTTGTGTTTTTTATTTATTCGGTTTTCTTTTTCAGTTCATGAAAAAGTTGTTTGACCACCAGTTTCAGTCTTTGTTTACTAAAATAACCTTGTAGCAGGCACCATTTTAAAACCATGACGGCTGAGACAGTGAGATGAGCAAGTTCAAGTGCAAAAAGGTTTTATTGGCATCTCAACAGTACACAGTGAAATGAGACCATGTTTATCCAGTTACCACATAAAAACCACACACAACTACACAAAACAGTAGGAGACACACAAACAACACAAAACACCTCAGAACCAAGGGTTAAAGAGTAAACTACCTGATGATGTAAAGTGCAACCTGGTGCAAACAGTGCAAGACAGACATTAAAGTGCATTAAACAATCAGAAGCAGAAACATTACATTTATCAGTAAACACAGTTCCTAGTGTGTGTGTTTGGAGGTAGTTCAGTTGATGCAGCTGCTCGGGATGCTCTTGAGCACAGGTGTCAAATCCAGTTCCTTGAGGCCCGCAGCTCTGCACAGTTTAGCTTTAACCCTGATTAAACACACCTGATTCTCATTGATTCTCACTGAAACTCATTAGGTCCCTCAGGCTTGTTTGAAGGTGTGTTGAAGCAGGGTTGGAACTAAACTGTGCAGAGCTGCGGCCCTCCAGGAACTGGATTTGACACCTGTGCTCCTGAGGGTCCCTCTATAGAGCATGATATGGATAGGGGGACGAGCTTTCCTAAGACACCTACAGTTTTGTCAGGATCTGTAAGTGTCGACAGATGAGTACAATGTTGACACACAGCACTGGAACTGGGTTAGTGTTGAGAATCAGCTCTGGTTTGCGTCTTGCAGGCACATTTTCTCATCAATCCATTACAGGACGTTCAGGCACAACAGTGTTTATAAAACAATAATTTATTTGAGTCTCATGACAAGAAGATGTAGAAAATCAGATGATATAATCGTCTTGATGGAGGGCTCTGGAACTTCTTTTTTTTTCTTTATCTGGTGACCTGAAACAAGCAACACACACATTTGTTGGTCTCTATGTTACACTTTTACACACCTCCTGTATAAAAATGGTCAGGAAAGAAAATGTAGAATTGAATACCTTGAACCAGCGATGGCTGCTGAGTTTCCCCAAAGCGATCCTCTTCTTGGGGCTCCTCTGCAGGCAGGACTGGACCAGTTGGCAGCACTCTGTGGAGAAAGATGGAAGAGTCTGATTATTATTACCTGAACTACATCTACTTGCTTTAATAATCACAATCCAAACAATAAGATTTGATGATGCTGAAACATGAAGGCCAAAACTAATGAACATCACTGAATTATTCCTCTGTGTCATTTAGATTTACAGTTGGCTTTCTCTGCTTTAATAAATGGCCAGCTCACCTTTTGACAATCCAGGTTTGATCCAAATCCTTTCATCTGTCAAGTCCAGGTCATGGTGTTTTGGAGGTTCTCCACACAGCAGCTCATACAGGAGAACCCCCAGTGACCAAACAGTTGCTGCTTTTCCATAATATCTGCCACTGGATCTAAATTCAGGTGGACAGTAATCTTCAGTCCCTGAAAAAAAGAAGATTTTCTTCATTAGTGACAGTAAGAAAGCTGATGCTGTTCAAAATATGGAGTTGAAGAAGTAAAATCTCAAACTGCAGACTTGTAGGACAATACATACCACAGAATGTTGTATATGCTGAGGTCTTCAGAAGGTCACCGCAGCCAAAGTCGATAAGTTTCACTTCTAAAGTTTCCTTGTTTATCAGCAGGTTTTCTAATTTAATGTCCCGATGGAGGACCCCTCGCTGACAGCACATGTGGGCAGCCTGCACTACCTGCCACATGATGTGCCGTGTCATGTTCTCACTGAGGGTTCCTAAGTGCCGCTCCAGGAAATCAAAAAGGTCTTCGCAGGGTGAGGGACGCTCCAAGATCATTATATAGGAGTCGGGACGCTCCTGCCACTCCAGCATCTGGATTATCTGAGGAACGGTCGGACCATTGTTGGCAAGAATGGTTAGAGCAACCTCTAACGGAAGGGGTGTAGGATGACCAGGCTGTAGAGGAAAGACATTTGTTGTCAGTGATGTTTAAAATCATTTTTGGCTCTAATAAACATATCTTGAAGTAAAAACCAAGAAAGCTGCTTACAATGCTGAGGTAATCCATGTCACTGCTCTTCAAAACCACCTTCATTGCCACCTGATCAACAGAACAGATCATTAGTAATTGTAGCCCTGTGCTCTGAGCTCAAATCATCACAGTCATTCAACTTTTTCAATGTCATGTGACACAATAACCAGACTTGAACAGACACTGAGAGAAATATTTTGCTAGATGTAGAGAGTAAAAATAATACCTCAAGACCGTCCCTCACACGAACTGCTTCGAACACTGTCCCGTATCCTCCCTGGCCGAGCTTTTTTACAATTCTGTAGCGGCCCAAAATGTCATCTGCAAAAAGGAAAATGAGTAAACATTTCAGAGAACACACAACAAGAGGATTAAAGCTGACATTTTAATTCATAATTTGAAAGAAAATTTGTCTATTATTTTGAATATTTCACATTTCTTCACAACTCAAGTTTATTAAAGCCTTTTACTTAAATTAAGTAGATAATTAACACATAATGTTGTTGGAACACATGAACATTATTGAGAACATTTAAAGGTCAATTTACTGTCGATGTCTTGATCTGGATCTTGGACCTGCTGACCACCAAGGCTGTTGCTGGAGTTGGATGTCTTGCTGGACCTGGACGTCCTGCTGGTGTTGGAGCAGGACTTCCTGCTGCAGCTGCTGTTGGAGCTGGACGTCCTGCTGGAGTTGCTGTTGGTGCTGGACGTCCTGCTGGAGGAGCTGGAACTGGAGCTGGCCTCGTCAAGACTCAGGCCGCTGCTGGTATCAGTTTCCGTAAGTTTAGGATTCTCCACAGAGAAATCCATAAAACAATCATAATATTCCATATTTCTCTCCTCAGAGGTGACACTTTGAGCAGAGAAGTAAGAAGAAGACGACCCGCTCCTCATCTTTTTTGATGGTCGCCTCTCCTCAACGGGCTCGAGATGGTTGAACGCCTCGTTGGGGCAGGATTTTGTTTGCGCACCATGATGGAAATTTTGCGCAATAACGCAATCGCTGTCAGAAAAACAATCTCTCTTTCTCTTCTGTCCCATGATCTCAAAAGCGGTTTGATAAAACATTAACGCTGTTGAATTCGTGTAACGCAGACAGAAAAATCAAGCCAAATGACAAATCTGTACAGAGAAGCTGTTTAAGAATGCAAGACATTCTAAATGTTCTATTCTAATTATGACGCAACAGCAGAGGTTTGTGTTATTTGAAACGCAGTGGGAGAAATTATGATACAGAAAAAGAATTATGTAATTCCGGCCAAATAGACCTGTATAAATATACACATGCTCATATTTTTAATAAAATATGTTTAAATATACTTAGATTTAATAAGATGTCACAAAAATAAATACTATAAATACATTTACTAGGCCTATATACATTTTACTCTTGTGTTACTACATTTTATATTGGCATATCTAACCTACAGGTATATGATATACATATATATACATATATATATGTGTGTGTGTGTGTGTGTGTGTATTTAAGGCAATAAACATTACATTTTTATTTGTGGAAAAAATTCTTAAATTTAATTTAAAGAACGAAATACGCTCACATTTGTTCGGTTTTGTTCATTAAACTCAATGCACGAATGCCTGTAAAAACGAAGTCTAAATATACGGTCTGTTTTTTGCATTTGTTTTCCTTTCGATATTAATTTCCGAAATATTTTATTTCAGATATACGTTCATTTAAAAGCCCCAGCACATTTCAGTTCGTTTAGCTTTTCGGCTATTTGGTCATTTGGTAAATATCAAATATATGTGAAGTTATTACATTTTTATTCATTTAAATGTTTTTTTCTCACGTGTCAAAAGATTAAAATTCAATAAATGAGTTGAATGAATTAACGAAACGTTTTTCCTCCTTTTTCTGCATTGTTCCTGTGGTCTAATATAGTAAGTATTTATCAAGCGTTGTCAGTCAGTTCAACACCAAGCAGCTGTAGACGCCAATTTACGTCAAAAGACCTGCTACCATAAAATATTTAAAAAAAATATATGTTTGTTGGGTTTTACAGTAATATAGACATAACAATACATCTTCAAAAGACACGCATAGAAAAATATCAACACAAAACAAGGGAGAAAAAAGAAGAAGAAGAAAAACTCCAGCTCAGATTATAAAACAGGATTATACCCCGAATAAAACAGATCAGAAAAAGGGCTAATACTTCGCTTGTCTTTCAGATAATACTACAGTTACATTCATCTTAGCAAGATAGGGCAAAGTCTAGTTTCCAAAACCATATTAAAGTGTCGACTTTATTAATTCCAAAGGGAAATTCACGTCACAGCAGAGTTCTCCATATAAGATCAATAAAATAAATAATCAAAATATGAAGTCCAAACCTTAGAGAGAAAAAAAAAAGTTTTGTTTGTGTAAAATACATTTAAGTAGGCTACATTAATATACACTCGAGCTATCAAATTGTTTATTTGTGCTGTTATTAACTATAGCTTACAGGTAACGTGCTTTCATAATTTCACACAAGAATATTTTCAACAAGAGCTTTTATTTGGAGAAAATGTCAATATAAAATGTCCCCCTTTCCATTTCCTTCTGTTTAAACTCTCAGAAAAAAATGGTACAATGTTGTACCAAAGAAAGGTACAAACCCTTGTCACTGCAGTACCTTTTTATGGAACAAAATTGTACCTTAAGACAAAGAAACAAATTTGTACCATTGCAGTTTGTACCTCTAAGAACGATTTATACCATGGGAAACCAAAATGTACCTTCATCAAAGATACAAATGTTTTACCAGTTGTTTTGTATTATTGCATTATAGAACTTAATAATTATTGTTTATGAGTTTCTTTAAACATATGCTTTTAAATGATGATTCATGTTTTAATATGAAAATTATTTATAAATCTCTTTGCCTTTCCAGAAATATTTATTTTCATAGATATTGTAACAAAGAAGGAGTTGTCCAACACTTATGTACATTCTCAGAAATAAAGGTACAGGAGCTGTCACTGGGGCAGTAACTTTTCAAAAGATATATATTAGTACCCAAATGCACCTAAAAAGTACCTCTGAAGTACCATTATGGACCCTTCAGGTACAAATATGTACCGTTTGAAAAGGTACCGCCCCAATGACAGCTCCTGTAGCTTTATTTCTGAGAGTGTACCTTTTTATGAGAACAATTATGTACCTTCATTCGAATTGTACTATAAAAGGTACAGAACAGTATCATAAGAGGTCTTTTCTGTACCATATGAGGTACAACTTTTACAAAGGTACAAAACTGGCCCTCAAGGAACATTATTTGTACCACCGTGTACCTCTTTTTCTGAGAGTGTATAATATAACGAATAGAGTTTTCTGCAAATAAATTCTCTGAAAGCAAATTTAGGTTGGGTTTGATTATTTTACGCAAGGGTAAATTTGGTTTACAGTCTTGAGTCCTCATTTCCTAACAGAACCACACACAAAAAAACTAAAATAGTGAAAACAACAAATGAGCATAAAGACATAAAACATAAACATACAAAAAAACTATCTTTTAATAAGTAAATAAAACAATAAAGAATAAATAAATAATCACTTTAAATATATAAAACAATCTATAAAATGTAAAATATACAAGTCACAAACATACCTCAGCTTTAGTCTATATGCCAAAGATGGCCAAACATAGGACCTGTGGGCCAAAGCCCATGGTAACCTTTGATTTGGCCCGCCATGCTATCTGAAAATTATGAAGAAAGTTGGGGGAAATGGCTTTAAAAGAGATTGTCATTTCAAGACTTTACACTCATGGTGTGCTGCAGTACTGCTCCTCTTCTCTGAGATTCCGTCCAGCCAGGATTCAAGGAGGCTACGCAGCTCTCACACAGATGGCAGACCTCCTCAGGTATTCAGATTTGAAATGCACAGTGGTTTCTATTGAGGTAGAGTTGGTTTAATATTGACACTTTCAGACGTTCTTCTTAATATAATTTCAGAAAAATATATTAATTACAAATTCTGAATGAGGAAATCATATAAGCAGCCAATGGCAATCAAAGTACAACATTGTTCACGGGCAATTGAATGGTGCCTATGTTGTTTTAAAGTCATACTTAAATGTGATTTCAGACCCAATATTCAAAGTAGCATGGTAAACAATATAGGGACTGTTAAATGAAAGAATCTGCAAATATAAAACCAACTTTACCTCAGTGTTGTTTCTGTCTTTATGTGCAGTGTCAAAGGAGATTAATGCATGTTTCTGTCTGTTTAGCACATGTTGCGTTGGTCTGGCTGCTTTCAGAGACATCGAGGTGTTCAGTCATGAATTTCTGCCATCAGTAGTGGAAAGTCTTCTTTTTCTTGCAGAGCGTCTCATGAACAGAGCTCTGAGGGTGAGATATTACAGCATTCTAAATCACATAGTGACCCTCACATAACAAAGTTTGATGCAAGATAAACTCTTTTCATGGTAATATAAATCCATAAATGTCTGTTATTATTTCTGATTAAATATTAATTATGATGTCTACACAGCGGGGAAAATAAGTATTGATGTTTATTTCCTGGGAATAATATTTCTAAGGGAGCTGTTGACATGGAATTAAACAAGATTTTGGTAAAAACCCAAACAATACAAACATAAAAATAAAACAAAAATAAAAAATCTGAAAATGTTGTGTGTGTAATAATAACAATTGAATGATACAAGGAGGAACCACTGAACTAGTAAATTGTATTCAACACTGATATAAAAGTCTTTTTAAGTGGATGTTAATATAATAATAATAGTAAAAATACTTTTATTGTAGTACAAATAATTTCCTTTCCATGTTAATGTAACAATAACAATAATACTTTTATGTTTTGTGGCAGGTACAAGTATTGTTTACTATTAATAGCGAACAATACTTATGCTTACCATAAATAAATGACTAAAACTTGTTACACTTAAAATAATTAACTTAATTTACTACTGAAAACTGTCATAAATTAAGTGTGTCAAACTTAATTAATTTAATTGTAACACTTTTTACAGTGTTATAATAATGGAATGACAAAAGGAGAAAGTACTGAACTGCTGAAATGAATTTAATACTTCATATATAAAAGGCTTTTTTGGTGATGGCAGCTTAAAGACGCCTCTCATATGAAGAATGAAGTCACATGCATTGCTCAGGTGTGATTTATTTCACAGACTTCACCAGAGTGTAAAGATTTTGATGGTTCTGTGGGTCTCATTTATCAAATCTCATCTTTAATTTGTATTTTTTATGAGATTCTGAGATTAAATAATTTCTCTCTCCAACAGGACAAGGCACCTAGTGAGATGATTCGTTTGTTTAGAAAAGTCTTTGATTCCATCGGCTGGCTTCTCAGGGCTCACAGGCATCTCATTCATCATGGTAACTTCTGTAAATTCTTCCAGCTTGTGAACTCCACAGAGTGTGTGTGTGTTTGTTTATAGATTGTTTTTCAGCTTGAAATGAACTGAAACCTTGTTTTTCCATTCTCTCCTCAGTGCTGAGATGTAAACATTACGAGAGTGTTCAGATCTGTGAGGATGATGACGTCTCCATTGTTACTGTCACCTTGTGGAACGATATCTTCAGGACAAACAGGTACAACAGAAAAGCCGCTTAATACAGCTCTTATCCATGGTTCACACCTTTTCCCACTGTTTTTGCAGTGCCGTCTTGGCTGAGATGGGAAACAGGGCTCTGACCGACATCATGGATGATATTGTGTATAAAATGTCCAGTAGCTCAAACCCTGTGATTGGCAGAGCAGCAGTGAAGACTCTTGTTCTGATTTTAGACCACAGCAGCTCTACCCAACAGCTCATTCAGAGACGATACAGAGGTACAATCACTCTTTATAGAGCTCAGCACATCTTCCAATACAGTCCCTAAGGGTTCTGAACAAAATGTCAATGCTTGGTCCTCCAGGTTTGTCTGATTTGGCTGAGAAGGACTGGCGTGGTAAAGGCTTTGACTCAGCTCTGGATCAGCTTATTGATCACCTGCAATTAGATGTCCCATGGAAAGAACCTAAGGTGCTATAAAATGATGTATCACACTATTTTAAAGTTGCTGATTTTGTTTTGGAAGTCCAAATTACATGAATTCAAGGCCAAAAAAAACACTAATTTACATAAATGGAGGCTATTTGTACCACAACAACGGGTAACACTTTAGAATAATGGTCCATTAGTTCATGTATTTACTAATATGAACTAAGTATAAATAACAATCTTCTAAAGCATTTATTAACCATAGTTCAACATGAACTCCAAAGTGCTTGTGAGCTATTATGAACTAATGTTATTTAATTTAAATAATGTTAACAAACATGAATAAACACCGTAGTACATGTATTACTAATAGTCTGTTCATATTCGAATAATTCAATCGTGTCCATTATGTAATTGTGTTTCTCTGACCCCTTTTTAACAGTGAAACTGGTTGTGTTTTGCTCTTCCATCCTCTTTGTTCAAGAAATGACGAACAGCATCAAGCAACACTGTGTGGGATTAGAATCTGGCATCTGTCAGTGAACTGTAGAGGTGTTCATATTCTTCATTATTTCTCCACTCTTCATCATAGGAGTCGTCTGAGGAGTGTGTGAGGGCAGCGTGTGTGATTCAGGCAGCCTGGAGAGCTCATCTGACCAGAAGAAGACTGAAGAAACTCCCCAGAGCCGTCAGCACTTTACAGCGCAGCTTCAGGTCAGGACATCATCAAGTCGAGATCCTCTGAATACAGCACAGCTATGAAGGAAACTGCACTTTAGAGATGCTATACACAGTGCAATTTTTATTCTTCTTTTCCAAAGTGATGTTCAACAGAACAAGGAAACGTTCACAGTATTTGCTATTGCTTGTTTGTTCTGGGGAAATTTATTTTAGTTTGGCTAGAATAGAAGCAGTTTAAATTAGTTTAAACTAATTTTAGGGTCAGTATTATTAGCCCCCTTAAGAATTTTTTTTTCGATTGTCTACTGAACGAGCCACTGTTGTTCAAACACTGTTGTCTTAATGATCCTTACTTTTGTAGTTAACAAAACAGCCTAGTTAAGTCTTAAGGTTGCACTTTAAGCTGAATACTAGTATCTTGCAAATGAAGTAGAAAAGTATTATGTACTGTCATCATGGCAAAGATGAAAGATATTATTAGAAATTAGTTTTAAAAACTATTATGTTTAGGGTTGTGTTGAAAAAAAAAACTTCTCTTTGTTAAAAAACTTTGGAAATCGTTTATTAAATTTTACAAGACAATATTGACTTCAACTGTATGTACATTTGAAAATTAGGGAAAAGCGGAGACAGCAGCAGGAACACACTGAGAGACGACGTGCAGAAGAGGAATTACGCCATCAAGTGTGTTTGAGAAGACAGAGAGCCATGAGACTGTTCCGCCAACACCAGCTGCATCTGATGGAGATTCTACCAGCCGGTAACAAACACTTCAGATCTACTGGATCAGTTCAGCCCAAAGGAGTTTGGTGACCAAGTTTATTCTGAATAATAATAATAAAAAATTAAATACATTGATAATTAGTAATACAGCTAAAATAACAGAGAAATATTGCTAAAATAAAAAATGAAAACTCGCATAACTGAAATAAATTAGAATTACATTTTAAATATAAAAATATATTAACCCTCCTGTAAAATGATTATATTTCTTATGTAGAAAGTCATGTTTCTTTTAATTCGACAGGAATAATAATAATTGTAAATTTGTCAATATTATTAGCCCTATTATTCGTTTTTTTAAGACTAAAGAAACAGTTGCCCAATGACTTGTCTATCAAACCGAGCATCAGGTTGGGGAAGAAAGGGGATTTAAATTACTTTGAACATGGCATGGTTGTTGGTGGCAGATGGGTCTGAGTATTTTAGACACTGTTGATCTACTAGGATTTTCACGCACAACCATCTCTAGGGTTTACAGAGAATGGTCCAAAAAAGAGAAAATATCCAGTGAGCGGCAGTTTTATGGGTGCAAATACCTTGTTGATGCCAGAGGTCAGAAGAGAATGGCCAGACTATTTTGAGCTGATAGAAAGGCAACAGTAACTCAAAAAAACACTCGTTACAACTGAGGTATGCAGAAGAGCATCTCTGAATGCACAACATGCCCATTAGTACCAATTAAGCATCATGTCAACACCTGTTGCTGACCATGTCCATCCCTTTATGATCACAGTGTACCCATCTTCTGATGGCTACTTCCAGCAGGATAATGCGCCCTGTCATTAAGTGTGAATCATCTTAGACCGGTTTCTTGAACATGACAATGGGTTCACTGAACTCAAATGGTCTCCACAGTCAACAGACCTCAATCCAATAAAGCAACTTTGGGATGTGGTGGAACGGGAGATTCCCATCATGGATGTGCAGCCGGCAAATCTGCAGCAACTGCGTGATGCTAGCATGTCAATACGACCAAAATCTCTGGGGAATATTTCCAGTACCTTATTGAATGTATGTCATGAAGGATTAAGGCAGTTCTAAAGGTAAAAGGGGGTCCAACCCGATAATTGTAAGGTGTACTAATAAAGTGGCCGGTGAGTCTATATATTAAATTGTGTATCAGGTCAAGGAATAAAAATAAGACTCCTTTAGAAATCTAAAACCAAATTAAAACAGTAAATACAGTAAAACAATATTTAAAACTGAAGACAAATTACAAATATGTAAATAAAAGTTTAAAATTGCAACTATAACCTAATGACTTAATTATATTAAAAGTATAAATAGCAAAAGCTCATTTCAATTGTTAATAATAGATAAAAATAACTAATTTTATAACCTCAAATTTGTAAAAATAAAGAAAATTGTTTAGTATTATTGCATTAAACTATTCATATATTTTTATTATTTATATAATTTTTTATTTTTGTTTAGTTTTAATACATCAAATGAAACTGAGAAATGTAATTGAATGGTCTTAGTTAACTATAATAACCCTGACGCAAGCAAATAAATGTATTTCATGTCCACCTCTGTCAGGTCAGGTGCAGAGATACCTGGGGGAGCTGGAGAACAAGGCAGCGCTGGTGATTCAGAGAGTGTGGAGAGGACACAGAGAGAGACGCCACTTCCAGCAGCACAAACACATCCTCAGACGGCACAGAGCTGCTATCACGCTGCAGAGAGCCGTGAGTCATTTTAGTTTTTCATTTTCTTACATTTCATTTTTGTACCTATATTTTCATGTGTGTACTGCAAACAGCATTTCTGTGAGACTCATCATTTCAGAAAGGCTTGAATAAACTCCACCACAAATATATGAAATAAACTTACTTAGTATTTTTGACTAATGAGCTGTAAATTCAGCTTCATTCAATTCTGTCTCTACCACTGACTGCTGTTTATCTGATGTAAGGCAGGAAAAGCAGACATGCATGTGGGAACGGTGGGCGGGGAGAAGCAGCTCAGACTCCAGACACCAAACACCAAAACGGGCAGATTCTGGAGGCTATAATAAATTATCTGATGGATATTTTGAGCTGAAACTTTGCAGACACATTCTGGAGACACCAAAGGCTCATCTTAAATCTCGTAAAAGGGGTAAAATAGGTACCCTGTAATATATAAACCTAGTGAAAACCTTACATCAGTTTATTTTTTTAAATTCCCTAATAATTTTGATCATCCACATGCTCGTTATCTTGTCAGGTTCTGCTTTTTTTAAAACATCGTAAAGCACAGAGGAATATTCTTAACACCACTGAAAGCACCCAAAGGACTGAAAGACAGCAGAAGAACAGAGCTCAGAAAGCAGATTCAGGAGCACATCTCTCTACATCCCATTCAGTACATTTTTGCTACTTGAAACAAATGCATTTTGCATTATTCTTGTAATAGTATATTTAAGAAGAAAATTATCTTATAGAAAAATGCTAACATTAAATGTAATGAAATACAAGCAGTTCTTGAGCATCACTGGGGATCTGACAGTAGATTGCTTCCCGGTTTTTGCCAAAAGACGGAGTTGGTGCAACATTTGATGGAGGTGGCCTACTTATAAATCTCTATTATAGTGGGCATATCCCTTATTTTCACATCCCAATGTTGACAGTTATGGTCCAGCTTGTGTTGCTTCACCCTGTGGATGAGACTGTGACTGTGTCTCCCTCACAGTTGCTCTTACTCTGGATACATTACTCTGGATGTTGTAGGATGCTTATAAACGTAAGTCAGATGTATAAATCGGAAAGAAATTAAACTGTTTTTAAAAAATTTAGTGTGTGTGTGTGTGTGTGTGTGTGTGTGTGTGTGTGTGTGTGTGTGTGTGTGTGTGTGTGTGTGTGTGTGTGTGTGTGTGTGTGTGTGTGCGCGTGTGTGTGTGTGCGCGTGTGTGCGTGTGCGTGCGAGTAAGTATATCTGTCTCCTCACAGCAAGAAGCTCGCTGTTTCGAGTCCCGGCTGGGTCAGTTAGCATTTTTGTTTGGGGTTTGAATGTTTTCTCTGTGTTGTCATAGGTTTCTTTCCGGTTGCTCTGCATGGTGTCCTCCACAGTCCAAAGACATGCGCTATAGGGGAATTGAATGAGTGTGCATGGATATTTCCCAGTACTGGAAAGGCATCCACTGTGTAAAACACATGCTGGATAGGTTGGGGGTTCATTCCGCTGTGGTGACCTCTGATGAATAAAGGGACTAAGCAGACAGAAAAGTAGTTTTCAGTAGAGAAGTAATTTAATTACAGTAACTAGTTATTTTGTAAGTAATTACACAACACTGGATACTTATTAATTGGATAATAGTACTGATCATTTGATTTTAGTACTTATATAATCCTACATTTTAAAGGGCTCCTATTTTGCCCTTTTATCAAGATGAAAATAAGCCTTCGGTGTCTCAGGAATGTCGCTCGTGAGGTTTCAGGTCAAAAATACCCATCAGATCATTTATTAGAGTCTGTTTTTGGGTTAAATGGATTTTTAGCTTTTTTCTGTCTGTGCCTTTAAATGCAAATGAGCTGGCTCTCCAAGAGTAGGGTACGGTTCAGGGATTGATATTTTGATTAATCAGGATAATGCAAATCAAATCACTAATTCTTTATTTTTCAAACTTGAATTTCTAAAAGAAGAAATGATGAAGAATTCAGAGAAACTTATTAACTCTTTATCTGCAGTTAAATTTGCCTAAAGTTTATATTTATGGCAGATAGTCTAAAGACAAGGTATAACAGATGTTTAATGTACATAAACATGCATTTGACTGATGTGATTGTCTGTAAAAGTATCAACACAGATACTGTCAGAATAGAGAGAATAGCCAGAATTCCAATCATAGTGCTTATTAAATCTGAAATTTGCATTTATTTATTATTATTTTTGTTTAATTTGCATTTATTTTAGTTTTGTATAATTTGTGTTTTATATTTATTCGGTTTTCTTTTTCAGTTCATGAAAAAGTTGTTTGACCACCAGTTTCAGTCTTTGTTTACTAAAATAACCTTGTAGCAGGCACCATTTTAAAACCATGACGGCTGAGACAGTGAGATGAGCAAGTTCAAGTGCAAAAAGGTTTTATTGTCATCTCAACAGTACACAGTGAAATGAGACCATGTTTATCCAGTTACCACATAAAAACCACACACAACTACACAAAACAGTAGGAGACACACAAACAACACAAAACACCTCAGAACCAAGGGTTAAAGAGTAAACTACCTGATGATGTAAAGTGCAACCTGGTGCAAACAGTGCAAGACAGACATTAAAGTGCATTAAACAATCAGAAGCAGAAGCAGAAGCAGAAACATTACATTTATCAGTAAACACAGTTCCTAGTGCATGTGTTTGGAGGTAGTTCAGTTGATGCAGCTGCTTGGGAGGCTCTTGAGCACAGGTGTCAAATCCAGTTCCTTGAGGGCCGCAGCTCTGCACAGTTTAGCTTTAACCCTGATTAAACACACCTGATCAAACTCATTAAGTCCCTCAGGCTTGTTTGAAGGTGTGTTGAAGCAGGGTTGGAACTAAACTGTGCAGAGCTGCGGCCCTCCAGGAACTGGATTTGACACCTGTGCTCCTGAGGGTCCCTCTATAAAGCATGTTCGGGATGGAGAGACTAAAGCTAAAGCTTAGGCAGCTACAGTTTTGTCAGGATCTGTAAGTGTTGACAGATGAGGACAGTGTTGACACACAGCACTGGAACTGGGTTAGTGTTGAGAATCAGCTCTGGTTTGCTTCTTGCAGGCACATTTTCTCATCAATCCATCACAGGACGTTCAGGCACAACGGTGTTTATAAAACAATAATTTATTTGAGTCTCATGACAAGAAGATGTAGAAGATCAGATAATATAATCGTCTTGATGGAGGGGTCTGGAACTTCTGTTTTTTTCTTTATCTGGTGACCTGAAACAAGCAACACACACATATGTTGGTCTCCATGTTACACTAGTACACACCTCCTGTATAAAAATGCTCAAGAAAGAAAATGTAGAATTGAATACCTTGAACCAGCGATGGCTGCTGAGTTTCCCCAAAGCGATCCTCTTCCTGGGGCTCCTCTGCAGGCAGGACTGGACCAGTTGGCAGCACTCTGTGGAGAAAGATGGAGGAGTCTGATTATTATTACCTAAACTACATCTACTTGCTTTAATAATCACAATCCAAACAATAAGATTTGATGATGCTGAAACATGAAGGCCAAAACTAATGAACATCACTGAATTATTCCTCTGTGTCATTTAGATTTACAGTTGGCTTTCTCTGCTTTAATAAATGGCCAGCTCACCTTTTGACAATCCAGGTTTGATCCAAATCCTTTCATCTGTCAAGTCCAGGTCACTGTGTTTTGGAGGTTCTCCACACAGCAGCTCATACAGGAGAACCCCCAGTGACCAAACGGTTGCCGCCTTTCCATGGTACCTGCCACTGGATCTAAATTCAGGTGGACAGTAATCTTCAGTCCCTGAAAAAAAGAAGATTTTCTTCATTAGTGACAGTAAGAAAGCTGATGCTGTTCAAAATATGGAGTTGAAGAAGTAAAATCTCAAACTGCAGACTTGAAGAACAATACATACCACAGAATGTTGTATATGCTGAGGTCTTCAGAAGGTCACCGCAGCCAAAGTCGATGAGTTTAACTTCCAAAGTTTCCTTGTTGATCAGCAGGTTTTCTAATTTAATGTCCCGATGGAGGACCCCTCGCTGACAGCACATGTGGGCAGCCTGCACTACCTGCCACATGATGTGCCGTGTCATGTTCTCGCTGAGGGTTCCTAAGTGCCGCTCCAAGAAATCAAAAAGGTCTTCGCAGGGTGAGGGACGCTCCAAGATCATTATGTAGGAGTCGGGACGCTCCTGCCACTCCAGCATCTGGATTATCTGAGGAACGGTCGGACCATTGTTGGCAAGAATGGTTAGAGCAACCTCTAACGGAAGGGGTGTAGGATGACCAGGCTGTAGAGGAAAGACATTTGTTGTCAGTGATGTTTAAAATCCTTTTTGGCTCTAATAAACATATCTTGAAGTAAAAACCAAGAGAGCTGCTTACAATGCTGAGGTAATCCATGTCACTGCTCTTCATGACCACCTTCATTGCCACCTGATCAACAAAACAAAACATTAGTAATTCTTGCTCTGAGCTCAAATCATCACAGTCATTCAACTTTTTCAATGTCATGTGACACAATAACCAGACTTGAACAGACACTGAGAGAAATATTTTGCTAGATGTAGAGAGTAAAAAAAAATACCTCAAGACCGTCCCTCACACGAACTGCTTCGAACACTGTCCCGTATCCTCCCTGACCAAGCTTTTTTACAATTCTGTAGCGGCCCAAAATGTCATCTGCAAAAAATAAAAAGAGTAAACATTACAGAGAGAACACTCAACAAGAGGATTAAAGCTGACATTTTAAGTCATAATTTGACAGAATATTTGTCTTATTTTGAATGTTTCACATTTCTTCACAACTCAAGTTTATTAAAGCCTTTTACTTAAATTAAGTAGATAATTAACACATAATGTTGTTGGAACACATGAACATTATTGAGAGCATTTAAAGGTCAATTTACTGTCGATGTCTTGATCTGGATCTTGGACCTGCTGACCACCAAGGCTGCTGCTGGAGTTGGATGAGCTGCTGGAAGTGGAGCTGGATGTCTTGCTGGACCTGGACGTCCTGCTGGTGTTGGAGCAGGACTTCCTGCTGCAGCTGCTGTTTGAGCTGGACGTCCTGCTGGAGCTGCTGTTGGAGCTGGACGTCCTGCTGGAGGAGCTGGAACTGGAGCTGGCCTCGTCAAGACTCAGGCCGCTGCTGGTATCAGTTTCCGTAAGTTTAGGATTCTCCACAGAGAAATCCATAAAACAATCATAATATTCCATATTTCTCTCCTCAGAGGTGACACTTTGAGCAGAGAAGTAAGAAGAAGACGACCCGCTCCTCATCTTTTTTGATGGTCGCCTCTCCTCAACGGGCTCGAGATGGTCGAACGCCTCGTTGGGGCAGGATTTTGTTTGCGCACCATGATGGAAATTGTGCGCAATAACGCAATCGCTGTCAGAAAAACAATCTCTCTTTCTCTTCTGTCCCATGATCACAAAAGCGGTTGGATAAAACACTAACGCTGTTGAATTCGTGTAATGCAGACAGAAAAATCAAGCCAAATGACAAATCTGTACAGAGAAGCTGTTTAAGAATGCAAGACATTCTAAATGTTCTATTCTAATTATGACGCAACAGCAGAGGTTTGTGTTATTTGAAACGCAGTGGGAGAAACTATGATACAGAAAAAGAATTATGTAATTCCGGCCTAATAGACCTGTATAAATATACACATGCTCATATTTTTAATAAAATATGTTTAAACATACTTAGATTTAATAAGATGTCACAAAAATAAATACTATAAACACATTTACTAGGCCTATATACATTTTACTCTTGTTTTACTACATTTTATATTGGCATATCTAACCTACAGGCATGATTATATATATATATATATATATATATATATATATATATATATATATATATATATATATATATATATGTGTGTGTGTGTGTGTGTGTGTGTGTGTGTGTGTGTGTGTATGTGTGTATATTTAAGGCAATGAACCTTACATTTTTAAAAAATTCTTAGATTAAATTTAAAGAACGAAATACGCTCACATTTGTTCGGTTTTGTTCATTAAACTCACTGCACGTATGCCTGTAAAAACGAAGTCTAAATATATGGTCTGTTTTTTGCATTTGTTTTCCTTTCGATATTAATTTCCGAAATATTTTATTTCAGATATACGTTCATTTAAAAGCCCCAGCACATTTCAGTTCGTTTAGCTTTTCGGCTATTTGGTCATTTGGTAAATATCAAATATATGTGAAGTTATTACATTTTTATTCATTTAAATGTTTTTTTTCTCACGTGTCAAAAGATTAAAATTCAATAAATGAGTTGAATGAATTAACGAAACGTTTTTCCTCCTTTTTCTGCATTGTTCCTGTGGTCTAATATAGTAAGTATTTATCAAGCGTTGTCACGCCAGCCAGTTCAACACCAAGCAGCTGTAGACGCCAATTTACGTCAAAAGACCTGCTACCATAAAATATTTTTAAAAAATATGTTTGTTGGGTTTTTACAATAATATAGGCATAACAATACATCTTCAAAAGACACGCATAGAAAAATATCAACACAAAACAAGGGAGAAAAAAAAAAAAAAACTCCAGCTCAGATTATAAAACAGGATTATACCCCGAATAAAACAGATCAGAAAAAGGGCTAATACTTCGCTTGTCTTTCAGATAATACTACAGTTACAACATTCATCTTAGCAAGGGCAAAGTCTAGTTTCCAAAACCATATTAAAGTGTATTAATTCCAAAGGGAAATTCACGTCACAGCAGAGTTCTCCATATAAGATCAATAAAATAAATAATCAAAATATGAAGTCCAAACCTTATAGAGAGAAAAAAAAAAGTTTTGTTTGTGTAAAATACATTTAAGTAGTTAATATACACTTGAGCTATCAAATTGTTTATTTGTGCTGTTATTAACTATAGCTTACAGGTAACGTGCTTTCATAATTTCACACAAGAATATTTTCAACAAGAACTTTTATTTGGAGAAAATGTCAATATAAAATGTCCCCCTTTCCATTTCCTTCTGTTTAAACTCTCAGAAAAAAATGGTACAATGTGGTACCAAAGAAGATACAAACCCTTGTCACTGGGGCAGTACCTTTTTATGGAACAAAATTGTACCTTAAGACAAAGAAACTAATTTGTACCATTGCAGTTTGTACCTCTAAGAACGATTTATACCATGGGAAACCAAAATATACCCTCATCAAAGATACAAATGTTTTACCAGTTGTTTTGTATTATTGCATTATAGAACTTAATAATTATTGTTTATGAGTTTCTTTAAACATATGCTTTTAAATGATGATTCATGTTTTAATATGGAAATTATTTATAAATCTCTTTGCCTTTCCAGTAATATTTATTTTCATAGATATTGTAACAAAGAAGGAGTTGTCCAACACTTATGTACATTCTCAGAAATAAAGGTACAGGAGCTGTCACTGGGGCAGTACCATTTCAAATAATATATATTAGTACCCAAATGCACCTAAAAAGTACCTCTGAAGTACCATTATGGACCCTTCAGGTACAAATATGTACCGTTTGAAAAGGTACCGCCCCAGTGACAGCTCCTGTAGCTTTATTTCTGAGAGTGTACCTTTTTATGAGAACAATTATGTACTTTCATTCGAATTGTACTATAAAAGGTACAGAACAGTATCATAAGAGGTCTTTTCTGTACCATATGAGGTACAACTTTTACAAAGGTACAAAAACATTATTTGTACCACTGTGTGCCTCTTTTTCTGAGAGTGTATTATATAACGAATAGAGTTTTCTGCAAATAAATTCTCTAAAAGCAAATTTAGGTTGGGTTTGATTATTTTACGCAAGGGTAAATTTGGTTTACAGTCTTGAGTCCTCATTTCCTAACAGAACCACACAAAAAAAAAAAACTAAAATAGTGAAAACAACAAATGAGCATAAAGACATAAAACATAAACATACAAAACACTCTCTTTTAATAAGTAAATAAAACAATAAAGAATAAATAAATAATCACTTTAAATATATAAAACAATCTATAAAATGTAAAATATACAAGTCACAAACATACCTCAGCTTTAGTCTATATGCCAAAGATGGCCAAACAGGACCTGTGGGTCAAAGCCCATGGTAACCTTTGATTTGGCCCGCCATGCTATCTGAAAATTATGAAGAAAGTTGGGGGAAATGGCTTTAAAAGAGATTGTCATTTCAAATTCAACATAACCTTTTGTTTTTTAAATTGTTGAGCTAGAAAAAAGCTAACTGAAATTAAATGTTTCAGTTAAATGTTGTGAATGAATCAGGTTTTTTGTACATGTAAAAACTGTCTAAAGGACAGAGGACAACGCACAAGACATTTGCAAGCAAATCAAGGGAAAGGCAGGTGCAGCTTGACTAATTCATTCAGCAATGATCTACATCGTGAAAAAAGGGAATTGTTTATAGTTTTACTGTAAGAAGTTCATTACAAAATGTAAAGTTATTTATACAAATGATTTTTTTTCTGTTTATTTATTCAAATAATAAATTGGGAAATCATGATGGCTTTAATGTAATACAGGTGGTATCTAACTTTGGCCCACCACCCTAAATCAAGTTTTTTTTAGACCTTCTTCAAAAAAGTTTGGGCACCCCTGTTCTACGCCTCTAAATGTCTATGGCTGCTGGTATGGAACTATTTTTGTATCGTTTAGTTCTACAGCTTGATAATAAAATGTTTAAGACACATTAAAAGTAGTTTATTAAATAAAACACAAATGAACATTACCTACAAAAAACAAACAAACACAAAACGCACATCATGGCAAATCCAGAAAATTGATAAAGTGAACTGGTCCCTTTATTTTTCTATAAATAACCTATCTTGAAATTTGATCTGTCACAATCACCTTAATTTGTGTAAATTAATCAAATGTGGCCTATGTAAAAGGATAAGAGCGGGAACTTTTTAGAAATACGAACTTTCTTCATCCTCGAGTTACCCACTTGGGGGTGCTGTTGTCGTAAAAACAACGACATTATCAGATTTTTGTTATTATTTTAATATTTATTTTTAGTTTATTATCTATATTATCGTCGTAATACATTTTTCTTGACTTCATGTTATTTCTAGTCATTGTAGGCTGCATTTAATCAAAAATAATTTATTATATTTAGTATTTATCACACGTATATTTATTTGTGATAACTAAATATTTGAATGGTTTGCAGAAATAACTGATGCAGTGGTTTTGTTAATGTAATATATTAGTTTAATTTAGCAATGTAATTTGTTTCTTAAGTAGGCGATATACCAATTATAAATATGTAAGCGATATTTCAACGTGCGCACGAATCAATGTTCTTATAACATTCAACGTAATTTAAAAGTCGCTTAGGTTTATATGGATTTATCTTCGGTAAATTCACAAAAAACTAAAACCTTTGTTAAAACCTTTCTAAAACCTAAACCTTTGGCTTAGTTTCATGTCGCAGGTTGATGACGTGGCGTTTCTGTAGAAACCAAATAGCTTCTTGTTCGTTGTCGGTTGTGTCGCTTTCCCTCAGCGGAATATAATCGTGTAATTTACACATAATTGACTGTAAAAGTTGCATATTCACCCAAGATATGAGAAGGAAGAAGGTAATCGAGCATTTGACAATCAACAGGAATCTTTTTATTTGAATCTGGAGTCGTTTTTTCAAGTGCAATGGGTCCTTCAGGAGACGAAATATACCCAGAGCTCAAGGATTTGGTGGAAGACACCAGAGAAATATCTGAAGACAAGTTTAACGACGTTCTTTCAAAATTAAAAGGTAAAGATAAACAAGACGTCTGCCTGTCTTATATTTGTTGTTGGAGAATATGGTTTGTTAGTATTTTTATCCAAGTGTTCTCTTACAAAAAAAAAAAAAAAAAATACAAAAATTTCCTACAGGATTTGCAGCTCATTTCCATGTAACGTTAAGAATACCTGCAAGTGTTTTATGAAGGAAACAACATTTATGCAAGAATTACAGCAATCCCACAGGTCTAATAAAATATACAGTTCCAGCAGGATTATTGCGCAGGGTAGATATGAAGTTGCATAAATTTCACAATGAAAATGTATTTTCACAAGTTATTTATTAATATTGTAAAAATTAGAAAAAAGCATTTAATTTGAATAAATTAAATAAAAAAATGTATTGAAATAAAACGTAAAAGTGTGCAACTTTTAGGTTCATGTATAATATTGAAACTTTTTGGATGTTTGCATAAATGCATAATTTGAATGGTTTAGATTTGATTTTTATAATTAGTTTGATTTTTATAATTGCCTATAGACCATTTCAATGTGGTCATGTCATTGTCCCATGAACATTTCCTGCTTCATTTCATAACTGTAACAAGAGGCAATTCAATCATAACTTTATGTTATAACGGCTAGCATAACATTATTTATCAACATGTGGCTCTTTTTGAAATGTCGGCAGTTATAGAAATTAAAAATATAAATCAGGAAATGCCTCGGGACCATTGCTTTTGTTTACATCCCTCAAAAATGGTCAATAATCTATTCATAATTCTACTTTTATTTATTTCTTATATTTTTTTGTTGTATTGTTTATATGTTAGAACTCATTTTTTATTGCTACCAACAGTTTCATGAATTAAAATTACAGCAAGGGACAGAATTTCTTTTCCTTACAAAAAATTAACCATTATTTTATTACCACAATAATATATATATTTTTAAAACACAGCCATGACTCTCATTGAGGTAAAGTTGGTTTGATGTTCGCATATTCACACATTTTAACCGTCCTTATATTAATGTTTACCACCCTAATTTGAATATTGGGCCTGAAATCTCATATAAGTATGACTTCAAAACAACATTAGCACTATTTAATTGACTGTGAACAATGTTGTACTTTGATAGTCATTTGTGGCTAATATGATTTCCCTAATAGGTGGAATTTGCAAATAATAATTTTCTCAAATTAAATTATTAAGGAAAATGTGAGAATATACAATCAACTTTATCTCAATATGCCTCTCCTACATGAATGAGCTGCCTTAAACCTTTTCTCATGTTCAGAACTTCTAGACCTGAAGTCTTTAGGAGATCAGAGGGATCTGGAGGTGTGTAGACTGAGACTTTACACTCATGGTGTGCTGCAGTACTGCTCCTCTTCTCTGAGATTCCGTCCAGCCAGGATTCAAGGAGGCTACGCAGCTCTCACACAGATAGCAGACCTCCTCAGGTATTCAGATTTGAAATGCACAGTGGTTTCTATTGAGGTAAAGTTGGTTTTATATTGACACTTTCAGACGTTCTTCTTAATATAATTTCAGAAAAATATATTAATTACAAATTCTGAATAGGGGAAATCATATAAGCAGCCAATGGCAATCAAAGTACAACATTGTTCACGGGCAATTGAATGGTGCCTACGTTGTTTTAAAGTCATACTTAAATGTGATTTCAGACCCAATAATCAAAGTAGCATGGTAAACAATATAGGGACTGTTAAATGAAAGAATCTGCAAATATAAAACCAACTTTACCTCAGTGTTGTTTCTGTCTTTATGTGCAGTGTCAAAGGAGATTAATGCATGTTTCTGTCTGTTTAGCACATGTTGCGTTGGTCTGGCTGCTTTCAGAGACATCGAGGTGTTCAGTCATGAATTTCTGCCATCAGTGGTCGAAAGTCTTCTTTTTCTTGCAGAACGTCTCATGAACAGAGCTCTGAGGGTGAGATATTACAGCATTCTAAATCACATAGTGACCCTCACATAACAAAGTTTGATGCAAGGTAAACTCTTTTTATGGTAATATAAAGGCTTAAATGTCTGTTATTATTTCTGATTAAATATTAATTATGATGTCTACACAGCGGGGAAAATAAGTATTGATGTTTTTTTCCTGGGAATAATATTTCTAAGGGAGCTGTTGACATGGAACTAAACAAGATTTTGTTAAAAACCCAAACAATAAAAACATAAAAATAAAACAAAAATAAAAAATCTGAAAATGTTGTGTGTGTAATAATAACAATTGAATGATACAAGGAGGAACCACTGAACTAGTAAATTGTATTCAACACTGATATAAAAGTCTTTTTAAGTGGATGTTAATATAATAATAATAGTAAAAATACTTTTATTGTAGTACAAATAATTTCCTTTCTATGTTAATGTAACAATAACAATAATACTTTTATGTTTTGTGGCAGGTACAAGTATTGTTTACTATTAATAGCGAACAATACTTATGCTTACCATAAATAAATTACTAAAACTTGTTACACTTAAAATAATTAACTTAATTTACTACTGAAAACTGTCATAAATTGTGTTAATTTAATTGTAACACTTTTTACAGTGTTATAATAATGGAATGACAAAAGGAGAAAGCACTGAACTGCTGAAATGCATTTAATACTTCATATATAAAAGGCTTTTTTGGTGATGGCAGCTTAAAGACGCCTCTCATATGAAGAATGAAGTCACATGCATTGCCCAGGTGTGATTTATTTCACAGACTTCACCAGAGTGTAAAGATTTTGATGGTTCTGTGGGTCTCATTTATCAAATCTCATCTTTAATTAGTATTTTTTATGAGATTCTGAGATTAAATAATTTCTCTCTCCAACAGGACAAGGCACCTAGTGAGATGATTCGTTTGTTTAGAAAAGTCTTTGATTCCATCGGCTGGCTTCTCAGGGCTCACAGGCATCTCATTCATCATGGTAACTTCTGTAAATTCTTCCAGCTTGTGAACTCCACAGAGTGTGTGTGTGTTTGTTTATAGATTGTTTTTCAGCTTGAAATGAACTGAAACCTTGTTTTTCCATTCTCTCCTCAGTGCTGAGATGTAAACATTACGAGAGTGTTCAGATCTGTGAGGATGATGACGTCTCCATTGTTACTGTCACCTTGTGGAACGATATCTTCAGGACAAACAGGTACAACAGAAAAGCCGCTTAATACAGCTCTTTTCCATGGTTCACACCTCTCCCCCTTGTTTTTGCAGTGCCGTCTTGGCTGAGATGGGAAACAGGGCTCTGACCGACATCATGGATGATATTGTGTATAAAATGTCCAGTAGCTCAAACCCTGTGATTGGCAGAGCAGCAGTGAAGACTCTTGTTCTGATTTTAGACCACAGCAGCTCTACCCAACAGCTCATTCAGAGACGATACAGAGGTACAATCACTCTTTATAGAGCTCAGAACATCTTCCAATACAGTCCCTAAGGGTTCTGAACAAAATGTCAATGCTTGGTCCTCCAGGTTTGTCTGATTTGGCTGAGAAGGACTGGCGTGGTAAAGGCTTTGACTCAGCTCTGGATCAGCTTATTGATCACCTGCAATTAGATGTCCCATGGAAAGAACCTAAGGTGCTATAAAATGATGTATCACACTATTTTAAAGTTGCTGATTTAGTTTTGGAAGTCCAAATTACATGAATTCAAGGCCAAAAAAAACACTAATTTACATAAATGGAGGCTATTTGTACCACAACAACGGGTAACACTTTAGAATAATGGTCCATTAGTTAATGTATTTACTAATATGAACTAAGTATAAATAACAATCTTCTAAAGCATTTATTAACCATAGTTCAACATGAACTCCAAAGTGCTTGTGAGCTAACATGAACTAATGTTATTTAATTTAAATAATGTTAACAAACATGAATAAGCACCGTAATACATGTATTACTAATAGTCTGTTCATATTCGAATAATTCAATCGTGTCCATTATGTAATTGTGTTTCTCTGACCCCCTTTTAACAGTGAAACTGGTTGTGTTTTGCTCTTCCATCCTCTTTGTTCAAGAAATGTCGAACAGCATCAAGCAACACTGTGTGGGATTAGAATCTGGCATCTGTCAGTGAACTGTAGAGGTGTTCATATTCTTCATTATTTCTCCACTCTTCATCATAGGAGTCGTCTGAGGAGTGTGTGAGGGCAGCGTGTGTGATTCAGGCAGCCTGGAGAGCTCATCTGACCAGAAGAAGACTGAAGAAACTCCCCAGAGCCGTCAGCACTTTACAGCGCAGCTTCAGGTCAGGACATCATCAAGTCGAGTTCCTCTGAATACAGCACAGCTATGAAGGAAACTGCACTTTAGAGATGCTATACACAGTGCAATTTTCATTCTTCTTTTCCAAAGTGATGTTCAACAGAACAAGGAAACGTTCACAGTATTTGCTATTACTTGTTTGTTCTGGGGAAATTTCTTTTAGTTTGGCTAGAATAGAAGCAGTTTAAATTTGTTTAAACTAATTTTAGGGTCAGTATTATTAGCCCCTTAAGAATTTTTTTTCGATTGTCTACTGAACGAGCCACTGTTGTTCAAACACTGTTGTCCTAATGATCCTTACTTGTGTAGTTAACATAACAACCTAGTTAAGTCTTTAAGTTGCACTTTAAGCTGAATACTAGTATCTTGCAAATGAAGTAGAAAAGTATTATGTACTGTCATCATGGCAAAGATGAAAGATATTATTAGAAATTAGTTTTAAAAACTATTATGTTTAGGGTTGTGTTGAAAAAAAAACTTCTCTTTGTTAAAAAACTTTGGAAATCGTTTATTAAATTAAAATTTCACAAGACAATAGTGACTTCAACTGTATGTACATTTGAAAATTAGGGAAAAGCGGAGACAGCAGCAGGAACACACCGAGAGACGACGTGCAGAAGAGGAATTACGCCATCAAGTGTGTTTGAGAAGACAGAGAGCCATGAGACTGTTCCGCCAACACCAGCTGCATCTGATGGAGATTCTACCAGCCGGTAACAAACACTTCAGATCTACTGGATCAGTTCAGCCCAAAGGAGTTTGGTGACCAAGTTTATTCTGAATAATAATAATAAAAAACTAAATACATTGATAATTATTAATACAGCTAAAATAACAGAGAAATATTGCTAAAATAAAAAATGAAAACTCGCATAACTGAAATAAATTAGAATTACATTTTAAATAAAAAAATATATTAACCCTCCTGTGAAATGATTATATTTCTTATGTAGAAAGTCATGTTTCTTTTAATTCGACAGGAATAATAATAATTGTAAATTTGTCAATATTATTAGCCCTATTATTCGTTTTTTTAAGACTAAAGAAACAGTTGCCCAATGACTTGTCTATCAAACCGAGCATCAGGTTGGGGAAGAAAGGGGATTTAAATGACTTTGAACATGGCATGGTTGTTGGTGGCAGATGGGTCTGAGTATTTTAGACACTGTTGATCTACTAGGATTTTCACGCACAACCATCTCTTGGGTTTACAGAGAATGGTCCAAAAAAGAGAAAATATCCAGTGAGCGGCAGTTCTGTGGGTGCAAATACCTTGTTGATGCCTGAGGTCAGAAGAGAATGGCCAGACTATTTTGAGCTGATAGAAAGGCAACAGTAACTCAAAAAAAAACACTCGTTACAACTGAGGTATGCAGAAGAGCATCTCTGAATGCACAACATGCCCATTAGTACCAATTAAGCATCATGTCAACACCACTGCCTACCTGTTGCTGACCATGTCCATCCCTTTATGACCACAGTGTACCCATCTTCTGATGGCTACTTCCAGCAGGATAATGCGCCCTGTCATTAAGTGTGAATCATCTTAGACCGGTTTCTTGAACATGACAATGGGTTCACTGTACTCAAATGGTCTCCACAGTCACCAGATCTCAATCCAATAAAGCACCTTTGGGAGGTGGTGGAACGGGAGATTCCCATCATGGATGTGCAGCCAGCAAATCTGCAGCAACTGCGTGATGCTAGCATGTCAATACGACCAAAATCTCTGGGGAATATTTCCAGTACCTTATTGAATCTATGCCATGAAGGATTAAGGCAGTTCTAAAGGTAAAAGGGGGTCCAACCCGATAATTGTAAAATGTACCTAATAAAGTGGCCGGTGAGTCTATATATTAAATTGTGTATCAGGTCAAGGAATAAAAATAAGACTCCTTTAGAAATCTAAAACCAAATTAAAACAGTAAATACAGTAAAACAATATTTAAAACTGAAGACAAATTACAAATATGTAAATAAAAGTTTAAAATTGCAACTATAACCTAATGACTTAATTATATTAAAAGCATAAATAGCAAAAGCTCATTTCAATTGTTAATAATAGATAAAAATAACTAATTTTATAACCTCAAATTTGTAAAAATAAAGAAAATTGTTTAGTATTATTGCATTAAACTATTCATATATTTTTATTATTTATATTATTTTTTATTTTGTTTAGTTTTAATGCATCAAATGAAACTGAGAAATGTAATTGAATGGTCTTAGTTAACTATAATAACCCTGACGCAAGCAAATAAATGTATTTCATGTCCACCTCTGTCAGGTCAGGTGCAGAGATACCTGGGGGAGCTGGAGAACAAGGCAGCGCTGGTGATTCAGAGAGTGTGGAGAGGACACAGAGAGAGACGCCACTTCCAGCAGCACAAACACATCCTCAGACGACACAGAGCTGCTGTCACGCTGCAGAGAGCCGTGAGCCATTTTAGTTTTTCATTTTCTTACATTTCATTTTTGTACCTATATTTTCATGTGTGTACTGCAAACAGCATTTCTGTGAGACTCATCATTTCAGAAAGGCTTGTATAAACTCCACCACAAATATATGAAATAAACTTACTTAGTATTTTTGACTAATGAGCTGTAAATTCAGCTTCATTCAATTCTGTCTCTACCACTGACTGCTGTTTATCTGATGTAAGGCAGGAAAAGCAGACATGCATGTGGGAACGGTGGGCGGGGAGAAGCAGCTCATCTGCATTTAAAGCCACAGGCTACAAACAGCTACACTGTACTCAGACACCAAAACGGGCAGATTCTGGAGGCTATAATAAATTATCTGATGGATATTTTGAGCTGAAACTTTGCAGACACATTCTGGAGACACCAAAGGCTCATCTTAAATCTCGTAAAAGGGGTAAAATAGGTACCCAGTAATATATAAACCAAGTGCAAACCTTACATTAGTTTATTTTTTTAAATTCCCTAATAATTTTGATCATCCACATGCTCGTTATCTTGTCAGGTTCTGCTTTTTTTAAAACGTCGTAAAGCACAGAGGAATATTCTTACACCACTGAAAGCACCCAAAGGACTGACAGACAGCAGAAGAACAGAGCTCAGAAAGCAGATTCAGGAGCACATCTCTCTACATCCCGTGAGTCACAGGAAGATATAGAATCTTTTGTGTTCTCCTGATGTTTGTTGTCTTCTGAGTAAGTGTTGTTGTGTTGTGCAGTCATCTGTGCAGTCAGCAGAGGGCAGCGCAGAGCTCCATCAGAGAGCGCAGAGTCTCCTCCATCGTCACCTGGTCAACAGAGCGTCTGATCGGGCGCAGGAGCAGCACAGACAGGCTCTACTTGCACAGATCAACACGGACATAGAGCTTTTGCTGAGTACGTACCTGAAGTAATGTCTGGAGTATTCTGCAGAACATAAAGCCAAAAGCAGATTCTATCCAAGGGCAACATGTCAGCCATAGCATATGGTTTGTATTTGAAGAAATACTTTTTTTGCTGTTGATTTGGTCATTCAAAAAAAAAAATTTAGTGTGTTTTTTTACTTTAAAGGAGACTTATTTTGCCCCTTTTTACAAGTTAAACAAGTTTTTAGAGTGTGTGTATTAGGTTTGTTTAAAAACCCCAACAAATAATGTTTTATAACTCTTTGAAACTGCCCCTTTTTAGGCTTTGATCTTAATTGTGCTGTTTTGGTGACTGTCACTTTAAATTCAAATGAGATTGTGCTCTTTTTAAAAGAGGGCGGAGCTACAAATGCCTTTGACTGCGTCTAAAATCGCATACTTCTATACTATATAGTATGCTAAAAACAGTATGTCAGCCGAGTAGTATGTCTGAATTCATAGAATTTGAAAACCAGTATGCGAGAAATACCCGGATGACCTACTACCTCTACTACCTTTTAATTTATATTTTTAATACATATTTTCGGGGTTTTATTTAATTGATAGGACAGTAGAGAATATAGACAGGATATTATCGGAAGCAGAGAGAGGAGAAGGATCAGCATAGGACCTTGAGGTGGGAATCGAACTCAGGTCACCGTGAACACCGAAGTGCCATGTCGACGCACTAACCACTAAGCCATTTGTGACGACTTAAATACATATTTTATATATTTGTTTTAAAACTAGTGTTGTAACATTGTGTTAAGTTGATAGTTAAAGCGTAAAATGACAATTGAATCACCATTTATTCTGCCTTATGTGAACTTAAATCTTTTTAAGTTTCTTCCTTTTGCTGAACACACAAAAAAGATATTTCGAAAAATGTTGTTTGCTGGCACCCATTGACATCCATAGTATTTTTTCCCTTTGTTGAAAATCAATTGGTTCCAGCTACCAGCATTTTTTTTCAAATGTGTATTTTTTGAGTTAACTCAATTTTATTTTGTTGGGAAAACTCTTTAACTTATGCAAAGTTTAAGGCTGATTTAATTTAAAACATAAAAAGCAGAGCTAAAGATTTTGTCTAGTGCAGATGTTCATTTCTGGTGGCAATAGGTGGGTCATTGATTAAAAAAATACAAAATAAAACATTTAAATAGACAACATATTTAAACTATGCAACAATGAAATTATATAACTATTTAACATCATAAAATGCCTCTAAATCATAACGTTGACACTCATTTTAGTTTCAGAAGCAAATGTTTTCCAGTTCTGCTTTTTAAAAATGTATTTTTTCCATTTTTATTTCCAACACAGCAGTGGCATGAATATAAACCGGGACCTAATATCTGAATGGAATTCTTGTTTGCCTTCAAAAAGCTGATTGGCTCACACAGAATCTAGCTTCTCAATCGCAGCTTCTTATTGACTCTATTCGGTCTACCTTAAAAACCGCGATGCTTCCGTTTTTCAGCTTCTCATTCGCGCTCAAGAAAATTCGCAGTTTTAATCTTCTAAGCAAGAGCTTATTATGTGGTCCTGGCGCCATCTTGTGGATAGACATCATCATCAGTCTTTGACTGATGGAGACCGAAGAGCTGTGTTTCAGAAATGATAAATATTTTAAAATAGGCTCAACCCTTATAAATGAACTGCATAGTTGCAATCTAAACAACTACATTCTAGACTAAAATAGCTTCAAAAGTACATAATGTTGCCTAACAGCTGGAATATTTGTCAAACTGTAGAGCATCTTCTGCTTGTATGTGGGTGGAGTAATACACAAAGGTGAAGAGGCCTGTGTGCTGTTACTGGCAAAATATATCACAGCTATCAGCCAATCAGATTCAAGAACCAGACAGAACTGTTGGATATACATATATATATATATATATATCTATATCGCCTTTTTGTAAACAAAGGTTGAGAACCCCTGATCTGAGATTATTGGTTTGTTTCTCCTGTTAGATGCACCGTCCCTGAGGGATGTCAGAGAGGAGGATGTGAATCTGTTCCTGAGCCGTTCATGTCCGGTAGCTACACGTGCCCGTCAATCCCATAATGCCTTGCTACAGAGTATGCGTCTGCCTTGGTGGAGGACGCTGGGAGATGATTTATCCAACCCAGAGGAGCCCAGGAAAGACTACGACATAGACATTGAGTCACTGTATCTCGGTGGAAGCTAAAAGATGATCTCAGGCTTGATGAAGAAACTTTATTTACTGATATGAAGAAGGCTTTATTTGCAAAAGATGTTTTGTATCAGTGTATTTAAAAGAACGGTACATTTGAACAGGTTTTATGTTATGCCAGGGCTTCCATCATGATTAAAGAGCAAGATGATCACATCACAGTGACAGAACGGGTACAGTGAAGCTGAAATCCTTTAGCCACATTCAGATAAATATTCCTGAACAGAAAAGAACTAAAGGCATTCTAATTTAATAATGTTTTATTAAAGGGACAGTTCCCTGCCAAAAAAAGAAAGTTCTGCATTTCTTTGATAGTTTAATCATTTTCCTCCTGTGGTAAACTAAAGAAAACACTTAGAAGGTTTACAAGTTTTGGTTACCACAGACTGAGATTTTTATAGATTTGGGATGACGAAGGTAATACTTTTTTTAGTGTGTGAACAATCACTTTAAGTAACAGCACGATAATACAAGCGCCATCCCCCACCACAAGTAAACATCTCAGGTACACTAGCAGCCAGTTTTAAGACTCATGTAGTAACTAAATGTAAAAACGGTTTGGTTTTATTTACCTTTTTTAATTAAATTATAGTTTACTGAATGAATCGTGGTTCTGTCTATAAATAATTTCACTTATTATTACAATTTTATTAAAGTGGTTATGCAAAGTTTGTTATTACATTTTATATGCAAACACTTGTCCAATAATGACAAGAAGCTTTGTGTTTTGTTACTTGAGATAAGAAACAAACTTTCATCTTTCAAAATCTGTCCAAATTTCAGAGAATTCAAATAATTGTGACCATTTTATTCTTTTTACTACAAGTCACAGCATGAGATAAGCACGAGTGAACAACTAATTACTCAGTGTTTCAGCAACTTGTGAACATTCATTTTCCTTCCGCCTAGTCCCTTTATTAATCCGTTGTCAGTGGAATGAACCGCCAACTTATCCGGCATGTTATACACATCGGATGCACTTCTGACTGCAACCCAGTACTGGGAAACATCCATACACATTCATTCACACACATGCGCTACAGCCAATTTAGTCTACCCAATTCACCTATAGCGCATGTCTTTGGACTGTGGGGGAAACCCACGGGGACAACATGCAAACTCCACACAGAAATGCCAACTGACCAAGCCAGGGCTCGAACCAGCGACCTTCTTGCTGTGAGGCAACAGTCCTAACCACTGAGCCACCGTGTCACACCATTTAACAATCAGTATTGATTAATTAAATTAAAAGTGTATAGAAAGAGTTCTGCATGTGTTTCATACCACATTAGTTTGCTTTCTGTTCAACTCAGAAAGAAAAGTCTGTGTATGTGTGTGTGTTCGTGTGTGTGTTCGACCGCATGCCCATAGTGGCCTAAACTCATGCCAAGGCCCCATTCACTGGACAGCCGTCATTATTTTTTACACTCATGTGAAAACAACAGAGTGGTCCACTCCACCAGCACGATTAAAATAACATTTTCAAGAGCCGAAAAATATGATGGGGGAATAATTGCCTTCTCTTTATGCAGCGTTTTAAAACTGCGGGTAAGTGAGGCCTGCTTTTGGAGGAATCGGAGCCGTGTGTGTGTAGCTGTGTGAATGTAACGGTAATGTGTTTGTGCTTGTGAATGTGTGTGTGTGAGAGAAAGAGATTGTGAATGAATGTGTGTGCATTAGAAGGTAAAAAGGCCAGGTAAGAGCAAAAGCACCGCGTCTGCCAAAACACTGCCTTGTTCCGCATGCCAAAGTGGTTTAATTGATTAACTAGAGAAGCCATTTATGCGGGCTTTAATTGTGCCTCAGTTGTAGTTGTATTGCGCTCTCTCTGATTCACTCCGGTCAGATGTTCTGTTCAGATAACAACTTTGAACTTTTGACCAGACTGTTGCACCAAACTACAAATGGACTGTGAAGAGAAATAAAAGAGGGTCGGGGTCGGTAAGATTTTATTTGAATGTAATAACATTGCGATTACAATGTATTTCTGCTTCAGATAAATGTTCTCCTTGTGAATGCTAGAATGTTTTAGTCAAATACGTCTAAAGAAACGTTTTAGCATTTCCAATCAAATACAGAGCAGTTTTCATATTGATAGTAACTTTAGAGTTTCTTGAGAACCAAATCAGAGTGTATAGGTGTTTCCCAGTGTTGCAGCCGGAAGGGCATCCGCCGTGTAAAACATATGCTGGATAAGTTGGCGGTTCATTCCGCTGTGGCATCCCTGATAAATAAACTGAGTAAGCTCAAGGAAAAAGAAAGTATGACAACCCCCACATAGCAAAATTTCTCTGGCCCAGCTCTGGCCCACACAATCAGGTTTTGCTTGGCCCACATGCCGCTGTGAATTACGGTACATGACTGGACCAAATCTGGCTTCCAGACAAGGGCCAAACACAGACCATATCTGGGCCAAGTCTCAGCCAAGTTAATAACTCATAACTGGGCCTGAACTGGGCCTGATAGGTTGGTGTGTCACGATTGCAATGAAATTGATAAACCCATGGAGTGATGCGCTTTAGGCACACTATGGGCACGCTTTTTCTCAAAGTGACCTGATTGGTAGAATTTTTTTTTCTTCACTCAAAAATGATTTTAGTATATTTTAAATGTGGGTCAAGACTGGCCAAACTCACATGGCCCACTTATAAAATTTTTAAATCTGGGCCAAATACTACGTTTTACATCTGGCCCAAATCTTGTGTGCCGCCTTAAAAACGGTGCCACCTCTGCCAAACCCGGGCCATGTTTGGCCCACATGCTGTATGCCAATGCCGGATGAATGCCTGCTGTGCCAGCTTTTTGCCAAATCTGGGCCAGAAATCCTTGCTACTAGGGAAATCATCATACTAAAATGGAGAAAAATGTGTCAATGAAAACTAGAAATCGCATAAATAGTTTTTTTTTTTTTTCAAAAATTAAATAAATTCAATCTTGGTGAGAACTTCAAAAACACACATGAAAATGTTAAAGGTGGTGTGAAGTGCTTTGAAATGTGCATTTTTATTTCAGAAACACGAAGAGAGGGTAGGGTATAGTGTAACTCCTCCCCTTTTTAACGTTTTGTTATCACAGCTCTGCTAGTAAGAGTGGTTGAGCTCAAGCCCATCACATGAAAAGCAAATGAGAAGCGTTTTGAAGGGGGCGGGGCATGTCAGACTGAGAGCATTTGATTTGATGTGATGAGAAACTGTAGGGTGAGCTGACGTGAATAAAACTGTTGACCCATTTAAGCGCAAGTGACAGACTACAAGCCTTACATGTTTATATCAGATTTATGTCTTCTAAATGCAAATTCTGTCACTGTTTTGGAGCACGCTAGCTTATAGATATGCTTGATACGAACAAATACTAATCCTAACATCTAAAAAAAACAACTTTATTTTAATTTCATGGAACCTTTAAAATCTAACAAACTCCACTTTCTGAACATTGCTGAATATTTACAATTATACAAGTACAGTAAACAGATTTTATTTACATTTCTTTAAATCATCAGAGATCATTGACTTGACAATATTGTACTGAATTGTAACACACTCAACTACAACAGAAGTTTACAATACACCAGAAGCACCAGATGCTCCAGTTTTTCCATTTTAAAAGATGCACCTGTCCCACATAATGCAGATTAATGATCATATGCCTTTACAGGGGTTCTCAGAATGTTCTGACTAAAAAAAACACATTTATTTTTAAAAGTGCCATTCGTCAGATTTCCTATAGATAACGTAAAGAATATCAAGTGCATCATTTTTTGACTTTTCTTATGAAGGGTCAAAAACCAAACTTGATTAAGGCCAGTGGGCCAAAGGTAAATATAGTTGTCAATGGTAATTTACTGATTTATTTAATAATATTTTAAAATTAACTAGAAAACTTTGCTTTATATTAACTAACACAGCATATATTACTTTAATTTTATAATGAACTTATTACAGTAAAAAATTTTTTTATTTAAAACAGAATGGAGTTACACTAGACTACAAATAGTCCTTTATCTGTCGAGTGACATTATTTACATTTGAAAAAATCTGATTCACTTACAACATTTAATTGAAACATTTCATCCCAGTTAGCTTTTTCTTTTTGTAGCTCCGCAATAAAATAAACAAAAAAACAAAAGTTATGAAATTAGAATTAGAAATGACGATCTGTTTAAGGCATTCGCCCCAACCCTCTCCATCATTCTCACTCTCTTTTCAGACGGGATGGTGGGTCAAATCAAAGGTTACAGTGGGCCAACTTTGGCCCGTGGGCCCTACTTTGGGCATCTCTGCTTTAAAGCATAGCTGCCAACACTCCCATTTAGATGTGACACATATTACACTCCCATATTTGTGAGGCCCAATCCAGGCTGGGTTTGACATACAAGTTAGAGGCATGCTTGAAGGACAACTTGCATTTCACTGACATGTTAACCCATGTGATCCATTACCAGAATACAGTACTTCAACATGTTTAACTGGCAAAAGCAACGGCGCTCACAGGGTTAACAAACACAGTGACCCTGCAAAAATGTCAATACGTGTCTGTTGGTGTCGTGTGAATGTTATGGAAGCTTGATCAAAAAAGGAAGATAATAGCAAATTTTATCTTATAATTCTGACTTTTTCCCCTCAAAATGTTGAGCAATTCTTAGAAAAAAAGCCAGAACTTCAGGGATAAAAATGCACAATTACCTTTATTTACAGTGGATGGATTATTCTGTAAGAAATTCCAGCTTTAGCATTATTGCCAAAATTTTAGAAAGTGGAATCAAACTGGACCCCGGTCGACCCTTTTTTGTGCAGGCTTTATATCTGATCATTTGTGATGCATTAGTGTATACATCTAAAGCAGTGGTCTCAAACTCAATTCCTGGAGGATCGCAGCTCTGCATAGTTAAGCTTCAGCCAACTCCATCTCACGCCTGCTTAATTCACCTTATTCTTTGCGTAAGAGGGGGCGCAGCCATTTGAGTCTTTTTGGCTCGAGACTTCCGCTCTCATTTACTTCCATTGATTTTTAGATGTTAAAAACAGCTTGTTATTCGGCTTCATGTTGCAAACTGACATTTGCTTCTTATATTATTCTACTTTGTCTGTATAATTATGCAACTGCTTGTTTGTAAAGCAAATAGCTTGAACCTAGTCATTTCCCCCATAGGAAACTGAATCGAAAGTTCTAAAACAATCGCAAAATCGAGTGCACTTACGCATTGAAGAATAAGGTCAATAGTCTCTAGTAGTCTTGAACAGCTTGATTAGCTGGAACAGCTGTGTTTGATTAGGGTTGGAGCAGAACTGCAGAGCTGCGGCCCTCCAGGAATCCAGTTTGAGACCCATGACCTAAAGCATGGATTCATACTCATGGATTTCATAACCCGCTGATCATATTTCATGTACGCTTTTAATTATTTCAGATTAAATGATTTTGCTTAGAACGAGTGGGTGGTGACAGAAGCCCAGCTCATCCCGCCTACCCTACTGTGATTGGCTGGATCTACGGAACCATCTGAGCCGGTTGGTCCGTGGGCCTGCAGTAAAGAGCACGGTGAAGCAGAAGTGGATGCACCGTCCGCAGGCTCATCCTGGCCGTGTGTAAGGCTCACAACGCCTCCTGGAGGACTGGAGGAGACGGTGCAGCTGCTCACAGTCCACAGGCAGGGATATTGACTGAAAATCACAGATGGAGAGACAAACTTCAGGTTTTTATGGAAAATTTCTTTATATACAAGACATTCAAGTATAATAGCGTGTCAAATGTGAGGTGAAGTTTTCTCTCTGACCTGCTGGCTCCAGGTGAGTTTGGAGCAGGTTGCATGGACAGCATGGCAGCAGGACCTGGTGGAGACACACCTGTCCAGCTCTCATGACCGGAGAACATCTGCACGCCTGGACTCAGATTGTCTGATAAAGAAACTGCAAAAGGAAAACAGAAGCGAGTAAGCAAAGAATAAACATCAAGAGCATCTAAATGTTACATTAGATTTTTTTCAGATTTCTGAAAAAGGAGAGTTATAAGTTTTTGAGTTTTTTTGAATTTCTCCTTTAGTGTTCCACCTAAAGAAGATAGTCAGACTCGAGCATGAAGTTATACATACCCCTGTCAAATTCTAACTTTTATTTAACCAACAAGTTTTTTTTTTTGACTGAAAAGGTTAAACGATGCACAAGAGGCAGCATCAATTTTTTTATGAAAGAAATCTTTCTTTTTTTTACTTTTATTTTAAGGTTTTTTAAGTACAACAGAAAACAACAAACAAACAATATTGTCTCAGAATTTACAAACTTTGCAGGTAAATATATGAATTGCCATACATGTGGGTTCAGCTGTTCAGCTGGGGATACAAAATGTAGTGTTGCACAGTGAGTTTTCATGAAGGGTGCTGGATTTGGATAGAGCCCGTTTCAGGTCTAAAATTTCCAAGAAAGAGTTACCAGGTAGCAAATAATTTTTCGTGGGAATAAGACCTGATAAATCTGAGCCTTTCCAGGTGGATGGAAAAAATATTTCTCATCTTTGAACAAAAAGTGGCAGTCAGAATTTGCCAGCGCTGTGAATAATTTCGGGCTTGACTATATGTTTGAAACATGGTGGTTCAGTCAATGTTATTTTAGTATCAATAAGTTAACTACTGGTATTTTGTATTTTTTTGTAATAATCAGAATTTTTCACCTCATTTTTATGATTTATTTTTTTATGTCTGTGACAATAGTTTTTAATATATTTTGTTTATTTCAGTTTCTGTTGTGTCGAGTAAATCTAATTGAAAAGGAGAAATATTTCCTTGGCAACTGTAGGTGACATAAAATAATATTTATTTTTAAAAGTTTTTAAAATAATGTATTTCAAGTAACACGTGAGTTTTAAGGCTTCAGTTTTGGTTGAATGTAATACTTAGGGCCGAATCCCAAACAAATTAAATATTTAAAAAAACATTCTATATGCAGTTTAAAATGATTAGCCTCCCTGTTTATTTTTTCCCCAATTTCTGTTTAACGGAGAGATTTTTTTCAACACATTTCTAAACAATAGTTTTAATAACTCATTTCTAATAACTGATTTATTTTCTCTTTATCATGATGACAGTAAATAATATTTGACTAGATTTTTTCAAGACACTTCTATACAGCTTAAAGTGACAGTTAAAGGCTTAACTGGGTTAATTGAGTTAACTAGACAGGTTAGGGTAATTAGGCAAGTTATTGTATATCGATGGTTTGTTCTGTAGACTATTATTTTTATATTTAAACTATCCTTGCTCTGTTAAACATTTAGGAAATCTAAAAAGGGGGTTTAATGATTCTGATTGCAACCGTACATTAGCAAGATTTGATTGTATTATTAATTTACAGCACGGCTTCAATGACACAAGAACTAAAATATGACGAAGCACTGCAAACGATACAATTGAATGAATTCGAAATGACAAGAACATATGAAAGTATTCATTTAAAGCTGCTGATTGTCAACAGAAACAAATATCTCAATTTCACTGCAAAATATGCATATATAAATTACTTTGGAGTTGAGGAGTTTATTGGTGGTGCGCCATGGGAGTGGGTGGGGCTAAAGATCTCTTTTGACACATTTCTCAATTCAACTCTCTGATTGGTTGCATTTTCTGCAGAGCATAACATTTTTCCATCAGAATTCTGCCATTAAACATGATTGCTTGTAAAAAAAATACAGATGAATTTATGGCAACAGATGAGTTCAGCACGCCTGTCTGTTCATCAGTTATTAATAAAAAATCTTTTTATGTGATATGATTCAAATTCCAAGCTATTAAATGACATTTTACCTGTGTTATGGCCACGGTGATGATGGCGGGGCAGGTAGGGCGATGGGTACGGGGCTGCCCGATGTCCATGTAGACTTGGGTAGTGTTTATACCCATGGTGATGATGAGTGAGCGGTAAACCTCCTGGATATGGAAAGTTTCCACCACTAGCAGAACACAAAGAGTCTGGGTTTGATATGAACCATCCGCCTGCAAACCAACAGATATGGACACCAGTAACACTGTTAGAATAACACTGATGAATCTTAAGAAAAACAAAGCTTTGTTTATATAAAAACAACTGTGAAATGAATGACTAACAGTGCGGGATGCCCATGTGCTGGTTCTCAACTGGAGGTTCTAGATGATTCTTAGGATGACTCCTGTGGAAAGAACATCTCGCATGAGACAAATCTCAAATAAATAAACAACCAATCAGGTACAGATATTATTATCAAATAAACAATCAACACAATTCATACGCACTGGTCAGTTGATTATATTATTTCTTTTTTTTTCTTTCCTTTTTTTGGAATAAAAAGTATTCACCGGACTCAAAGAATTTATTTACTTAAAAAATATAATAAAAGTATATTAATTATATAAAAATTCCTCTTATGGAAAAAAGTCACATTTATCAACATTACTAGTCTTCAATGCCATATAATCCTGCAAAAATAATTTTAATACACTTTGCTTTCTTGATTATTATTATTGAAATGGATTGATTAAAAATTGATGTGAAGATTATTATATTTAAACTGGAAACTATTTTTAAACGTTAGCGCAGATTTCTAATCAGCCAATCACCTGGCAGCAACTCAATGCATTTAGGCATGTAGACATGGTCAAGACGATCTGCTGCAGTTCAAACCGAGCATCAGAATGACGGAGAAAGGGGATTTAAGTGACTTTGAACGTGGTACTAGTAAGGTGTACCTAATAAAGTGGCCGATGAGTTTAGCTCTGGCACTGTGAAAATATAGTCTGAATGAATCAATTTTCTTTCCCAGAGATAGGTTGCGGCTGAAAGGGCATCCGCTGCGTAAAAACTTGCTGGATAAGTTGGTGGTTCATTCCACTGTGGCGACCCCGGATTAATAAAGGGACTAAGCCGACAAGAAAATGAATGAATGAATGAATAAATTTTCTTGGAAATACAGTAATGAGAATCAGCAATGCAAATGACTCATAGTAATTTATGAAGCATTTATGGCAGTTAAAATTTGTTGTGTGACGATTAATCACATTCAAGATAAACGTTTGCATTTACATTTAATATATACTTATTCTCTAAGTGTGAAAAATAAGAGTTGTTTGGAGAAAATTGTGAACCTAGGAGGAAAAATAACAGGAAAAAAAACAGATGCCCATGGCTCAGTTATACCAGAGACAAGTTTTGAGTAAAGCTCAGAGTATTCTGTCAGATGATTCCCATCCTATGCACCACGAGTTTTATCTTCTCCCTTCTGGTATTCGATACAGAACTCCTATTAGTAAAACAAATCGTTTTAAACTTTCATTCATCCCCTCAGCTGTAAAGTTTTTAAACTTAGGGTAGAATTTGTATTGTATGATGTACTTTTGTGTATAGTGTGTGACATGCTTGTATGCTGCAACCAAATTGCCTTCGGGAAATGAATAAAGACTGACTGACTGACTGACTTGCGTAGAGTGTATATTTATGAATATATGTATAAATACACATACTGTACATAAAATACAAAAGAAATACATTTATTATATATTTATATACAATTTGTATAATATATATGTATTTTAAAATGGGGTTTATGTTGAGCGCTGCATATGTACAGAATCTTTTTTTTTTCTTTTTTTCCCCAAATGATGTTTAACAGAGCAAGGAAATTTTCACAGTATGTCTGATAATATTTTTTTTCTCCTGGAGAAAGTCTTACTTGTTTTAATTTGGCTAGAATAAAAGCAGTTTTTATTTTATAAACACCATTTTAAGGAATAAATTATCAGCCCCTTTAAGCTAATTTTTTTCTCTCGATAGTCTACAGAACAAACCATCCTTATAAAATAACTTTCCTAATTACCCTCACCTGCCTAGTTAACCTAATTAACCTAATTAAGCCTTTAAATGTCACTTTAAGCTGTTTAGAAGTGTTTTGAAAAATATCTAGTCAAATATTATTTACTGTCATCATGGCAAAGATAAAATAAGATATTGGAAATGAGTTATTAAATCTATTATGTTTAGAAATGTTTCAAGAAATCTTCTCTCCATTAAACCAAGAAATCGGGGAAAAAATAAACAGGGGGGCTAATAATTCTGACCTCAACTGTATTTGGGATGTGATTAATCACGATTATTTGTTTGACAGCAATAATGAAAATAAAACTTTTTCCTCTTTTCTTTGTGTGGAAGACAGTCAATTTTTTACAGTAGTGTTGATCTTCTGCTCCAGTGAAGTTTTGATTACATTTACTGGAGTGTATATTTATTCAGCGCTCATTCCACCAACATCATTGTGCAATATCTCACACATTCTTCACTGTAGCCGCTCAAAAATCTCTCACTCTCACTTCACACCGGCTCTCCAACAAGCTCCTTTACTCACACACTCACTCCATTCAAAGCATAAACGTTTAATAATTGGTCGCTAATCACGGCTGATTTCGCACAGTCATGCTAGCGTGACTAGCGCTAATGCCTGCTATGATATTATTATGAGTTGAAATGCGCATTGTTAAATCGGTGAGAAAACTTGACACTAATGATGTTTGTTGTCCAACGTCATTTCACTCATTTGTACCTTTCCTTCGCATCAAGGAACGCTTTGGCAAACGGGTTGTGTTTTATCTTCAGGGCAGTTATCTGTGAAGAAGAAGAGAGCGTAGTAAGGATCAAATATAACACTTGGACATGAGAGATCAAATATATATATATAAAAGCAAAAAAAAAGAAAATAAAATTATAATAATAACAATAAAAAAGTATTAATTAAAAGTTCACATTAAGGAGTCAATATTTCCTCTTTCCAATTAATTACTGTTTATTAGATCTAATATCGACTAAACAATAATATTAATATTTAACAATAAATCAACATGCGCTAGACTGTTGTACTTGAGTCTTGGTTTTTAGAGCATTTTTTTGAGACGGTATTCTAAAAATTAAGTAAGTAATCAAGTTGAATAAATACAACCCCACACAAACAAACAATTTTATACTTTGCTTTCTGTGTAAAACAGCCCTGAAAACAATATTCTCAAGATCTACAGAAATTGTGTGTGTGTGTGTTTGTTTTTAAGCCACATGATTGTAAATGCATAATTAAAGAATTCTAATTATTTTTAAAAATGACAGAATTTTTGAAGTGAATTGTTCCTCAAGTATGCCTGTTGTCTATTCTGATTCAGATTTTGTAAAGATGTTGTTCACCTCTTCATTCTGGTAGGCTGTTACAGCGATGAACTGAGTGTCTGTGAAGGAGATGTTGGTCACCATCCTGTGGCTTCCCCCAACACGAACAATGTGAATTTGAGGCTCATATTTATGGAGGGAATTCAGCATGATCTGGAGCAGGTAAACAGAACAGAAGACAAGAGGATAGGAAAAAAAGTAATTAGTGCTTTGCTTGACAATAATTGACAATCTGTATACAGTGCACATATCGACTTTATGAATGTGCAAAAATGTACAAACCAGTATATATTTTCAAACATGTTTTTGTTTTCATTTCTTTATTAAACTTTTTCAACAGATTTTCAATGGGCTATACAGTACGCACGGCTAGTGTTTTTCAGCCAATGATTAACTTCCAGTGAAAGCTTAATGTGACTATTTTCAATTGCATAGGGTTGTTTTTACAGAATTGATGTTGTAATGTAACTAAAATACATTCAGTTTTAGTTGTTCATCTCAAAGAGATGAAGGACCATGTAACCGCTAGCGCCATTAGGATCAGCAGGCTAGCGCAGAAACTCCATTTAAAATACTGGGGTAAAATAAACTGTCATATTTTAAAGACATGGCGGGGGGAAATGGAATTTAATGCAGCACTTCTTGTCCTGTCTGAGACCCACTTCATATCAGTTATCTATCAGACAGTGAAGATCACTGATTTTTAAAGAAATCAGACCTTAAATGTAGCAATTTCATAATGGAAAGACAGGTCACCGGAAGTGCCGAGAATGGCTGGCTGAAATTAAAGGTCTGTGTGCATATACCCCATTCTTCTTAATTTTCAACTTTAAATGAGTTATGAAACAGCAAGTTTTCATTGAAAAGTTGAAAATGGTTTTGAAAGAAGTCACTTTTACTGGCCAATGCTGTATTTATTTCATAAATATGTGTTTTATTTTTGAATATATCATAAAACAAAATGTATGGTAAAACTGAAATTTCTACATTTTTACTCCATTCTTCACTCTAGTATGCTGCACTTGAGCACAATAAACATTTCTTACTGTTATCAATACTAAGAAATAGTTCTTGAGTGTACATCAATAGATACAATCAATAGATTTAAATTTGTCAATTTTTTTTATAAAGTTACTTAACATACATACATACATACACACACACACACACACACACACACACACACACCCACACACACACACACACTCACACACGTACACATACACAAGCATAAATTGTATATATTATAAATGTCAATTTTTTTGAAAAAATAAAACAAAACATATACATACATAAACACATACATACACCACAAGCACTTTAATGTTATACACTACGTGACAAAAGTCTTGTCACTTACCTTATAATTTGACTTCTAGTTGATCATTTGGTATCAGAAGTGGCGTATATGAAAGGTACAGGCCTCTAGATTACGCTTATTTTACCAAAATAAATTAAGATCATGCCTCGATTTTTAATTATTTAATTAGGACAGTAAGGTCTGACTTTCTTTAGACACATGTCTTGTCAATAAACAGAAATATTTACATAAATGCACATATTTATAGAATATAAAGTCATAGTGCAGAGTAAGAATTAGTATTGTGGATGACTCCCATGAGCTTGGAGGACTGCATCCATACATCTCTGCAATGACTCAAATAACTGATTAATAAAGTCATCTGTAATGGCAAAGAAAGCGTTCTCTCAGAGTTCAAGATTCCTATTAGAAGGAGCGCTATCCTGTTGAAGAATTTGCCCTCTTCTGTGGTTTCTAATGTAATAGGCAGCACAAATCAGGCTGTTGATGTTGAATGTTACCCTAAACCATGATTTTTCCTTCACCAAACTTGACTGATTTCTGTGAGAATCTTGGGTCCATGCTGGTTCCAATTGGTCTTTTGCAGTATTTGTGATGATTTGGATGAAGTTCAACAGAAAAATCGACCTTCTGCTACTTTTCCAAATGATCAACTAGAAGTCAGGTTTTTATTAGTTGCTCTTACAACTGGGATCGACGACAAGACTTTTGTCAGGTAGTGTATATTGGCGCACTATAATTACAAGGCTAATGGCACCATATTCTATTGTGTTTTATGCTGTGTGGCATTGATTAAAACATTTTGATGGCTATAAATTAGTAAAGGGCAATATGTTTATTCAAAGAAAAAATATTGTGTTTAGATGTAATTATGTACGTCCTATGTGTGTATTGATGATGTACAAGACCAATGCAGTTCACTTTCCATCTCAACAGCCAAGTTTTAACATCTTAAATGAAAAAGCTAAGAGTATCATTATCCATATTAGCAAGTTTCTACATTTACCCACATCATTGTATTTATAAAAAAATTCTTCGGATGACTGCAGTGACCACGTCAAGCATGAATAAACATTTCAACCCAATTCTGAGAAAGAGGCTGTCAGAACGAGAGAGAAAAGCAGAATAATTTGATTTTTTTTCTCTAATTGGTAGATTACAATGACTGATGAGGGGCAGGTACTCATCTGCATGGCTACAGGGGACATAAAGGGCTTTGTGTGCTTTTCTCTCCCCGCTGCCTTTTTTAATATGTTGCCTTTTTGAACATCTAAGGACTGATGGCTAAATTAATTTTGCATAGAAAAAACAGAGGTAATTACCATAATGTACAACTAACCACAGCAATTATTTCATTTAGAGCTGGTTCTCTCTCATCGTCCTCTCCGCTGCCAGCTCCGCGTTTAAAAAGCCCGGTAAATAGGCAACAGACAGGAACGGGGCAGAAGAGGACGGGGTGGCGGGAAGGGCGCAGGGGAGGGGTCATGTAAATACCAATAATAATTTGGTGGCGGAGTCATACTCGAATGGAGCGGGCTGGAGCACCTCGCAGCGGCCCTGCTGAAAGCCAGGATGGCGAGCTGAAGTAGACCACTCTCTGTCTGAACGGCAGGAAGTGCATTAAACGAGAAAAGTGGCAATTAAGAGCTGTTTATTCCTGTTTACATGCAGTCCCTGCTGAACAAAGGGGCTCCATAGGTGAAGTGGATGCAGAGGAGAGCACTAATTGTATAAATGCGCACTTGAAATTTCCCCGTGGCAGTGCGCAGGGTGATTAAAGGCAGGCCAAGACTCCTAAAAGCTACAGAGGCCTGTTTGGACACACAAGAGCCCTGAGAGGCTACTCAAGATTGCAGAACAGGCCACGTATGGCTATACACACCTGCGCAGCACGAGCACAATGTGCGGGCGCTCTGTGTTTTCTCTTGTCTTTTTATTAGGAAAGAACTAAACAAAATTGACTGCAGAAAAGGGAGTATGACAGAAAAAAAATGCTTTGAGAGGGAACTTGCTGTCATTCATTGGTAAGACGGGTTAAAGATTAGTTAATCTAAAAAATTTAATTATGTAATTAATTACACCCCTCCATGTAATTCCGAACCAATGTTTATCTTCAAAATGCTAATTAAGCTATTTTAAGTGAAATGTGAGAGCTCCCTCATCCTCCATAGACGTCCTGATGCACTTACACTGCAGATCTTGATGGTCAATTCAGATTTTGTGACTGTATCCGATTTTTTGCTGACCTGCTTGCATCATCTTTTAAAAGTGACTCGTATCCGATTGTCTGCATTTACACAGCACACGGCAAAGGCGCAATGACCCGGAAAAAAAAAGAGCAGGTGCAGACTGACAGCTGATAATTAAAGAGCGCTCTTTTCTCCATTCCTGTATTTAATCTGTTCACTGGCTTAAGTTTTTGTTTTACTATAGTTTATGATAGAAAAGTGTGCATTTGGTAATCTTCTTTTAATCTAGGACTATTTAAACCAGTAGGCGTCTTAATGTAATGTCCATAGTGTGATTTATCCATGTGATGTATGCAACGGTTTTATATTAGTTTATGGTTACATGGCGGATGTTACGCTCTTGCGCTCTCTCTCGTTAACATGCTTGAATACTTATGTTATGTGATAAAATAAAAGCGTATTTAGTCCTCGTGTATGAGATTTAAGGTTTGGGACTCTGCTGAAGTCCGTTCTGAAATGAAAGCATCAGACTTGAGGTCATTCACTATGCTTTTTAATGATGCGCGATTTGCATTGACAGGTGAAAATCCAATCTACCTGCTTACACTGCAGACACGAGAACACAGATCAGATTCATATCGGATAAATTGCCACATATGATCAAGGCCTGAATCTGATTTGAGTAAATCCATGTGATTATTTCCTGCTTACAAGTACATGGGCCATATCTGATCTGTGCCACATGGGAGAAAACAATCGCAATTGAGTCGCTTGAACCATGCAGTGTAAATGCGGCCTTAAAGTCTAGAAAGGTACCAAAATATGTACAAAACTGGCCATATTCATTCTGAATAATATCAAGCTATGAGAATTTTTTTGTGTAGTTACAACAAAAATAGCAAGTTTATTTAACTTCTCAGTAGCTATAATTCCATCCACCTATTTTTATGCACATTTTGGATATGCACATAAAACAAAATCTGTTGATGGAAATGCCAAGATGCGCATGAATTTAAAAGAAAAGAGCATAAAAAAAATAAAAATCTCATAACTGAGCAGGATAAACTTTTTTTTCGATAAGAAAAGATGCGCATAAACTATGCATCTATGCATGCACTATGATGGAAACACTTTTCCCGAACAAATTCCAGTCTGCGCACTAAAAAGGGTCTTTGCTATAAGAGATCATGTGATGATAAAGATGGCTGACCACACTGCAAAACATCTGAAACATTGTTTTGATCATTCTAAAACGCCTTAACCATTTCAGTTTTAGTGTTATTACAGTATATTATCAATTACCTCTAAAAATGTCAAGAGTGTCTGTGCTTCACGTCTCACGCCTTCAAATGTCACCTTGCTTTCATTGCATGTCGGCATTTGTCTACTGAGGCACGAGTCGTTTATAAATAATCATTTAGATTCACACAGCTTCTCCTACCGCAGCAAATTCCATTTTTACTTGATATTTGGCGCCAGTTGACTCGTGACTCAGTGACTCGTCGTTCTCTTTGACTCGTTGGATGGAAACGCTGCTTTATTCACACGCCTTTTATGTGATAATCCAGTTTTGTGCATAAATAGAATTCATATTTTTAGATAGAAACAAAACTAGTGTCAGTATAAGGTGTATGTCAGAGGCACAGCCACAACAGTGACTTGTGAACGAGCTCCCCTATACTGACACTGAAGAGAGGAAACAGTTGAATAAAGTTGTTGTTTTTGTTTCATGTGTGCACTTAAGTATTCTTGTACTGTAGCTTCATGATATTCCGATTGAACCAATGAAGGCATATGGTATGTTTTTAGGATATTTTTAAGTACCTTTCTGGACTTTGAATGAGTCAGGTAGCTTGCTGTCTATGGAGGATGAGGGAGCTCTCAGATTTCACTTAAAATATCTTAATTTGTGTTTAAAGAGGAACTAAGGTATCAGGTTTGGCAAGTCATGACGATGAGTAATTCATTAAATAGTTTTCATTTTTGGTTCAACAAACACTTTAAGACTACTATATCCTCAAAAGAGATGAGATAAGGAGAGAGACCCCTTACTACTTGCAAACTTTGCAAAAGTTTCTTTTTTTCTGTTAAACACAAATTAATTGTTTTAGAATATGCGGTATGTGGAAGTCAATTAATGGCTACTAGTTTCCAGCATTTAAAAAAAAAAACTATTATGTTTAGGAAAAAAATATTTGAAACATGTGGAGGGTGAGGAAATGATGACAGAATTTTTATTTTTGGGTCAACTTTCCTTTAAAATGAAAATCGTGTCAGGATTTAGTCGAATATTGAAACCAATTTACATTTTTGTTTTGAGAGATTCCAGTACCTACATTAATTAGAACAGTTCTGGGTAAAAATACTTTTAATTTAATTTGCATATGAATGCTGATCAGTAAAAATAACCAAGTTCTTGGTATCATGAGAAGATGCTTATTAGGTTCTTGCAGATGCTCAATTGGGCTTTTGAGGGGAAAAATGGACCTTGTTAGTTTTCATACATCAAGCAAGAATTTTTGAGCTTCCTTGACCACATTTGCAGGCTGTACATTGTAAATTAATGGTGTAAATGAACTAACAAATCTCCCAGATTTTATTTCAAAATACCTTCCTGCCAGAAAATGAATTTTATATGGGTTTTGAAGGACATTAAGGTCAGTAAATAATACTACATTTTTTAATTTGCATTGCATTGCACCAGAGCAGGATTTTCTAAAGCTTAATGTAAAAACTGCAGTTATAAATGAGTCCTAAGAAAGTTGTAATAATAAAATATATGTTTAAACAGGAACTCAAAAATTAGAAACTTTACTTATTTTAGTTTACCTGCTGGTCAATGTGACCATTAACTGACACCAGAGAATTGTGAACATTTGAACATGTTAAATATTGTAGTATAATTATTATCTATTATACATTCTTATAACCATTTTTTTTTCAGAAGGGTTTGGCTGATGTTTGATTAAATTTTTTTTGAAGCAACTGAGAATCGCTTCATTAACATTAACACTTGGTTTTAATTATTACTTATTTTGACTTCCAGAATCAATATTTACTATTAAACTGTATACTGAATATGACAATGACATACTTTTAAACAGTATTTAGTAAACTGCATAAATATTTCTTTGAAATGTGGTCAAATTAAATAATGCATTATCTGTGAATCACTATTATTAAGTGTTAACCAAGCATAATTACAGTAATTATTATATGCAATATTTTTTAAATCAAACCTAAACTCCTAGCATGTTGTTAATTAATAAACGAATTACCAGAAAAATAGAGTAACCAAAATAAGCGACTAATTGTTAGCTTATGTCAATTAATGCATTGACAAATGAGCTTATTGTAAAGTGTGACCCATTCATTCATATATCTTCTGTGTGTGTGTGTGTGTGTGTGTGTGTGTGTTTCAGCACCTGTCCACCTCCGTTGAGTTTATTGGTCAGTTTGACTTTATTGAAGGACACCGGAGCCTTCATCCAATGTGCGCCGAAGTTGGGGGAGTCGGGATGGATGTAGACACAGCTGTGACTGTGAGGCTCAGGTTTGCCCGCCGGGACCCACTCTCCGTTTACGTACTTCCAGCGGTGCCCGTCTGCAGGAGTGAAGTCCAGAAGGAACGAATACATGGCATTGGGATCCAGACCCGTCACGCTGACCTTCAGAACTGGAAACATCCTCCTGTATGACAGAACAACTACTTGGTTTGTTTATGGTTTAAACCAAAAGAGAAAAGTATACATTTAATCCTGGTTTGTTTAGCATTCACATTGTCGTTATTTAAAGACTGCGCTTAAAAATATTGAACAAACAGACTTGTATTGTGTAGAATCGTCAAAACTGAGCACCCAACACAATGCTGTAAAAAGCAATTAGTTGACTTTACTTTACAAAAGTGAGTAAATCTGCTCCCTCAAAATGATACATTTCAACAAATGTATTCATTAATTTTCTTTTAGGCTTAGTTCCCTTATTAATCTGGGGTTGCCACAGCGGAATGAACCACCATTTCAAGAAATTCATTCATTAATACTCTTTTTGACTTAATCCCTTATTAATCAGGGATTGCCACAGTGGAATGAACCACCATTTCAACAAATTATAAATGTAAAATGTTTAACAGAGGAAGGAGACCTTGTTGTTTTTTTTTTTTTTTGGTTTTGGAGGGAAATTCAAAAGTTCTGGGCCATGACTAACAAGAAATTAATGGCCTCTTAAATATAAATATTATTTGTGACCTAAATCATATGCTGCTTGGGATATACAATGAGATTAATATGCACAAACATAAAAATACACACAAGTTCCTGACATCTGAACTGGATAATTGAAAAAAACCCTACAAAGTTTTTATGGCATAGGGTAAATGTACCACTGGACTATTTAACTTGTGTGTTACACAGCAAAGATGTTTTATTTCATGAGAGGTGGGGTCCATTTTTTTGCAGATGGGTTTGAACTTAACCTTCATACTCACCAGAGGGTTGATTTATTGAGGTCAGATCTTGTGAAGGTTTGTGGTGTATGAATATGCAATATCTCTAATTTGACCCCCTTTTTTATTATGTTTAATTTTAAGTATTATTAATTTATAAACTTCTTTCCCCCCTCCTTGTTCTGTTCACTGGTTTGTTGTTGAAATTTAATAGTACACTATTTAAAAAAAGACATTATACATGTGAATTAATTATATGTGCATAATTACAAAAATTAAGTCGATTTCACAGTTCTATGTTACAACAGGTTTACTCCGTTTAAGTAGTCAACTTGTCGCTTTTAAGGCAACAAATTTACACAGTTTCCCCCTGCTTTTTCAATCTGCAATAGTACTTTTATCAGCTAAGAACTTCTGAAATATTTAATCAGGAATTCCTTCATCAAAAAATGATTACTGCTGCTTGTTCAAACTACCCGTTTAAAATAAGCTGAAACAACACAATTCTTGTCATTTCTTTAGCCAATTTATTTATTTTATGTTCACTTAACCATAACGTTAACTTACGTGTTTTGTGTTAGGACAACATGAAGAAATTGTGATGGTTTACCTACCCAATTAGGGTATTTGTAGTTCCCAGTATGTTTTGCGTGTGGTTGAATTAAGAAAGGGAAATGTTGACAATATTGTTGACAAAAGTAATATCATGTGTTTAAAGTTAATAGAAAGACTTGTCAGAGTTTAATCTTCACTTTAGTTTGAAGATTTAGAAGATTTTCATGTAATGCTTTGAGTTTTGAGATTACCACCTTGCAGAAGCACCCGTGCTTTGGGTGTTGTCAGCTTAATTAGCAATAATGCAGTTCGTTGCTTTGTTCAGTGAGCAATAACTGTCCTAAATTAACTAAAATAATCAGTTCTGAGATCAGTCTCAATCATTGGTATATGTAACTCATGAAATATGCATAAAAATGGCTCATTTAGGATAACTTCAAATGAAACTAAAAGACTTTGACATGTACGACGACATACATGATATAATCAGACCTTTGAATTTAAGTTAAATAAAAATGCAAATGTATGTATTTGATAAATTCATGTTAGACTAACTCAATTGCATTTAATTGTGTACATTTTTTATGCTTAACAAATTTATTGGATGGAAATCCTGCCCTCAAATAAGTTTGAGTTCATGAGTTCATCCAATGAGTTATTTTATTGTGTGTACTAAACGGGTAACATTGTGACTGATGAGGAAAATCAGATATGCTAAATATTATTTTCCCTACTTTTTTGTGGTCTAACCTGAGATCATGTCCTTTTTTGGTTTTGTTCAGATGACAGCATTTACACTTATTGAAACGAACTGCACTAACAGAGCACATGAGTTTAATACACCCAAAAATGCCAAGTGTGAACGCACCCTTAAATTATAGATTATTGCCATTTATGGTTTTGTAAAAAAAAAAAAAAAGTTTGTCAGACTATAATTTTCCAGTTTTTCACATCAAAAAGAGTAAAACAAAAAATAATTAGTCTTGAAAAGTATTTATTACTGTAAATATGTTATATGTCATTTAAGGTTAAAGTTGCTTTGGAGCCAGTTTAATATTAATGCAAGCAACTTACTGTGTTAAACGTACAGAGAAAAAGTGGTAATTCACGTTAAATACTCCTACTTAAACAGAAATATCCCTTCAAGACAAAAAACATAATCTGTCAAATAACATGCATGAATAAAAAATTCCACCAAAAAAAGATTTACATCGGCTGCCAAAACTCTATGAGCAGTCACAGGCACAAACTTTTTTAGGAGAGTTTGGAAGCTAATCATTTTCTTTTTTTTTTTCCTATGACTATATTTTATGGATGAGAACAGGTTTAAGAGGGTCTGCAAATGGAAGGACACCCACCTGCAGAGCTGACCTGTAACTACTGAACAAGCTGGTCAAGTCACCCTTCAGCTCGACAACACCACAACAAGCCTTTTCAATTCAATTAACCTGTTCTAAAAAAATAATAATAATAAAAAATAAAATAAAAACTCAAAAACACCACCATGTGCCAATACCAGCAACACAAAATAATAAAACTCTAGAAATTAGGAGTTATTTAGTAAGCAGATGAATTCTGGACTAAATATGCAGTTTGTTCAATATTTTAGGAATATGAAATAAAACAGTAAAACCAAAAATAGTCACAAATAATTAAATATTTTCAAAAGGATTTGTGAGCAAAAAGTTTTTGATTATTTACAAACAACAAAATACATTTTAATAATGTCTCTAGATAAGCATTTTTGTCTAATGTTATTAATATTGAACGTGTGAGCATGGTATGTTTATTTCTTCCTTTAAAATAAATACTTGATTCCGAAAATATCAATTTATTATTGCATTACAGCAAACATTTGTGACCTCGTTTTTAAAATATTTTAAATGCCATTTTATGCATCCGAATTAACCATTTAAATTAAAATTTGTTTTAATTAAAAACTTTCAGACAACTTCGTATTTATTTTATCAATACAATTAAGATTTTTTTTCTGACAGGTCTCAAATTTGACTGACAGAATTCAAATAGTATGCGTTAACTTAAAAAGAGCATTTAGTTATTTGTACAAACTTTTGGTGTATACAAAGAAATGCCATTAAGTTCGAGTAAAAAACACGTTTCTGTGGAAAACAAATATATTAATAATTAAGACTATCAAACAGTACTTAGGCTACTCGTGACAGAACTTTGCGCCTCACCTGCCGTTCTTGGTCACAATCATCTCATTAGTGACTTCTTTAAATTTCCTCCAGAGTTCAGCATCTTCTAGGCTGACTTTGAGCTGTTTCTCAGTCGGGTCTCCCTTCTCTCGGCCGGCCTGTAACTCGCTCTCCACGACGCTCAGCAGTCTGGTAATACAGCAGTCATTGCCGCCTCGACCGCTGCTTACCGTCCCGCCGCTCCGCAGATCTTCCTCCACCTTCATTGAGTGACGAAAAAATCTCACACAGCAAGTTTAAAACAACTGTACTCTAACTTACTGTAATATATCAGATTTTGACAGTAAACTTTTGCCTATAACGCAACCAGGCATCGAACAAATATAATAAAACAATGAGTATACCAGCAGTGTGTGTACTAGTTTGAACTGTACTTCAGCTCACTGCGACCACCTGTTCTTATGACCGGAGGACAAACCTGCAGTCACGTGGTTTGCTCTAATTAAGTGATTCATTCACATCCCCTTGTTTTCATGCTAATATTCTAAATTCAAGATTATTTCCAGTCCTCACATGCATATTTAGGCAATGCTATGCGGGTTCAGTAATAGCAAAAACCCCGGGGAGCAAGTTCAAACGAAACTTAATACAGGCAAAACATCGAGAAAAATAAATTTGCAAAAAGCAGTGAAAAGCATAATGCCAGATTAACTCGTGAATCATCCGGATATTTTTGCAGATACCATAAGATGACCTCTTTTTTTTCCAAGAAAGCGGGCAGCTTGTAAATGAAAATTTTTGTTAGGGGACAAACTCTTAAAATATTAATAATTTATAAATCCAAGCTCAATTAAATGACATTTATGTTGTAAATATATTAATTGATAATGCAGAACTAATGTCTTGAATATAATTATTATATCCATTATTTTGCAAGGACTTTGGACTAAGTGTACATTTCAGTCAAATTATAGGCTAAATATTTTAGGGGGGAATAGACAGATAAAAAAATACCCAATAAACACTGTTTTGACCTAACTAAAAGACTCGTTTCAGATTCAGAAATATTGCAATATTCAATCATAATTTCTATTAAAATTATATAATATATATATATATATATATATATATATATATATATATATATATATATATATATATATATATATATATATAAATAATTTAAACTCGACTCTCTTAAATTACAAAATAACAAAACAATTTAATCTTGAAACAGATATGCATTTTTATATAAAAAAAAAAAGACTAAATCTAAATATTTCATTTATCATTTGTAAGTTACGAAGGATCTTTTGTACGTGATAATTTAAAAACGCATGCTTTTCCTACTGTAGTCGGAAAGGTAGCCTATAATATGAAACACCAGAACATCCTCTGTGATTCACGTGGAGTCCTATGTGACGGCGTACGTAAGGGCAAACTGTCAAAGAGCTTTGAGTATTGTACAAGCCATGTGGAGGAGAAATAAAATACTGGATGTTCTCTTTAGCGAACGAGAATGAACGGAAACCCGATCCAGCGACCGGCGCTCTAATCACAGAGCCACGCGCATGGAGATTAGAGGACTCAAAGAGTTTAAATCCGAAAAAAATAGTCTCATTAGCGGAGAATCCTCCTATATATCAAACATCAGAAAATCAAGCACCTGACCTTTCACTGGCAGAGATGACTTACGCACATCCGTGAACTTTAACTCAGCTAAAAGTCTTATTGAGACTTATTTTAAAATGACAGCACTTTTAGCTAATTAGAATAAGACAAAAAAAAAACATTTAAATAAATATTATAGCTGTTTATTCAAACTACTTATTCAAAATGTGATGAATTAACAATTTCTGAGGGTTTTCTTTGGGACAACATAATTGTATTATGTGCAATCCACTATTATATACAGTGCTCAGCATAAACGAGTACACCCCATTTTCAAAATGAATATTTTTTCTCAATTTCTCAGTAAATATGGGTAATGGTGCATTTAAACAAAACAGATTTATTAAACAGATATATTTATTAAAATAATATTTTAGTCACAGAACATCTTTATAAATGGAAAGATTATACATTGAAATTCATGCAAAATATTGCATTTTTATATTATTTCAACAGAATTGTAAATATGTTGTTTCTCTTAATTTTAACTATATTTGAAAATTTTATTTAATATTTTTCCCTAACATAAATTTGGGCTACTAATTTTTGAACCATTATTTTAAGTTATTTTGTAAGATTAGCTCCAGATTTGGCTACAGTAATGACTATAATGTATATCCACAAATATAATATTGTAAAGCTTGTATAGAAAATATTAATTTAAATGAGAGATTTGTGGGGGTGTACTCATATATGCTGAGCACTGTATGTATATGTACACACACACACGCATGCACACACATTTGGTGGGATCCACAATTGTGTGGAACCCACCATTTAAAGATATACAAACTAAGATGTGAATGAAATTAAATAGCACTAATGATTTTTTAATGACAGCACTTTTATCAACTTGAATAATAAAACAAAAACAGTCTTAAAATAAATATTTTTGCTGCTTGTTCAAGCTACTTATTCAAAAGGAGAGTTTTCTCTGGAACTAATTAATGTGCAATCCACTTATACATTTTATTAAATAATTGAATTAACTCAAATGATTTGTGTTGGATGAAGAAATTGTGTGGAACCCTGCTTTTTTTTTTTACAGTGCAGGAAAAATAAGATGCATTGCAAATGAAATTAAACAACACTACTCAACAGTTTAAATGAATAACGAATCTCAATAATGAATCTCAACAACTTTAATACAGCAAAGACTGTCGATTTGTCCATATACGATCATTCTTAAACATTTCACATATACATTCATTTTGTTTTCTTAGCAGTAATGCATTAAAGAAGCAAACCTGCATATTGATCCTAATAATGTAGGGGATCTTGACTCAAAAATATATACATATATATTCAGTCAGTGTTATATATGTATGTATATATATATATATATATATATATATATATATATATATATATATATATATATATATATATATATATATATATATATATGTATATATATATATATATATATAAATAAATTGAATCTCTTCTTCACATCTACAGCTATTTCAAAAGACAACAAGGAGAAAAATCTACTTGAAATCAGCATTAAAGCGAAATGTTACATGATTTGAAAAATAAGAGGATTTAGCTCCTAAATACAAAGATAATTGAAATGGGCTTGATGACAGAATTAACACTACAAAAAATACATTGGCACCCTAATGAGTGTTAATATTCTTACTTCTCTAATAAGATAATATAGCTAGCATTATGCAAGTAATAAACCATCTCCATCACACTATTACTTGGGCATTAACTGGATTAAAAATCGAAATGCATATTTTCAGAATATATAGAAAAATAATTCTCTTGCACCTAAAACTTAAACAATAAAGCAAACACTGGTTACAGTTCTACACAATAGCCCTCAAGTAGAAATCCTTGGATGAAGAGCAGAGAGGAAGGCACATAGGATGGCGTTTTTAAGCAATTACACAGCAGTTAAATGCAAAATATGCAATTCGGTCTTGTTGCACCTAGCCACTACAACCCAAAACTCGAACATTTACCTGATTACAAAATTCATCCTTCATAGTTTCCAACCTGAATGTAAAGCACAGGTGTTTGTTTGTATGCATGTGCGTATGTGAAAGAGAGAGAAAGTACTTGTTCACACAGATGGAGAGTGTCCATTGGTTGGGAGAGCGAGGGCAGCCTGTAGTGTAGTGTGCTGTGGTGTCTGTGCCAGGTGGCAGAGTGGGCACATGAGTGGCATTGAAGGCAGCACCAAAGTTGGAGCCAGAGCAGAGCACAGAGCACAGAGAGAGAAAGAGAGAGCGAGAGACGGCCAAGGCCAAATGTACAGGCATCTCACTTCAAGCACGCGGAGAACAACTTAATAATTGCATCCCTGCACAAAAACAAACAGGCAAAGGTAAACAAACGCCTAAGCCAAAAAACATGATTAAAAGTGTGTTTTTTGGCTGTGACAGAACGGCTGTTTTCATCCTATAAAACAATATGAACTCCGCACACATTTAAGACCAGTTGTGGTACTCTGATAAATTGCAAATCTGATGTTTTTAAAGTTGAAACTACACTCACCGGCCACTTTATTAGGTACACCTGTCCAACTGCTCATAACCGCAAATTTCTAATTATCCATTCATGTGGCAGAAACTCAATTCATTTAGGTATTTAGACATGCTGAAGACAATCTGTTGCAGTTCAAACCGAGCATCAGAATGGGGAAGAAAGTTGATTTAAGTGACTTTAAACATGGCATGGTTGTTTGTGCCAAACAAGCTGGTCTGAGTATTTCAGAAACTGCTGATCTACTGGGATTTTTACGCACAACTATTTCTAGGATTTACAGAGAATGGTCCAAAAAAGAGAAAATATCTTGTGAGTGGCAGTTCTGTGGGCGCAAATACCCTGTTGATGCCAGAGGTCTGAGGAGAGAGGCCAGACTGGTTTCAGCTGATAAAGGCAACAGTACCTCAAATAACCACTCAATGCAACTGAGGAATGCAAAAGAGCATCTTTGAATGCATAACACGTCCAACCTTGAGGCAGATGAGCTACAGCAGCAGAAGACCACACCAGTTGCCACTCCTGTCAGCTAAGAAACTGAGGTTACAGTTTGCACAGGCTCATCAACATTGGACAACAAAAGATTGGAAAAAAACATTGCCTGGTATGATGAAACTCAATTTCCGCTGCGACATTTGGATGGTAGGGTCAGAATTTGGCAACAATAACAGGCAGGTGGTGATGGTGTAATAGTGTGGGGGATATTTTTAGCACTCTTTGGGCCTGTTAGTACCAATTAAGCATTGTGTAAACACCACAGCCTACCTGAGTATTGTTGCTGACCATGTCCATCCCATAATGACTACAGTGTACCCATCTTCTGATGACTACTTCCAGCAGGATAATGTGCCATGTCATAAAGCGGGAATCATCTCAGGTTTTTTAAACATGTAAATGAGTTTACTGAACTCAAATGGCCTCCACCATCACCAGATCTCAATCCAATAGAGCACCTTTGGGATGTGGTGGAAGGGGAGGTTCGCATAACTAATGTGCAGCCGGAAAATCTGCAGCAACTATCATGTCAATATGGACCAAAATCTCTGAGAAATATTTCCAGTACCTTGTTGAATTTATGATACGATGGATTAAGGCAATGCTGAAAGCAAAAGGGGGTTCAACCCGGTACTAGTAAGTTGTACCTAAGAAAGTGGCCAGTGAGTGTATATAATTACTACATTATGTTGCTATTGGAATACATTCTGATTAAGTGGTCCACAGACTTTGCTTCTATGATATATAAAAGATACAATTCTCACTATTAAAATCATATTTGCTTCTTGTTAATAGTTATTAAAGTAGTATAGATTTAGGTATTACTAAGCATTAGAGATGTAGTATAAGGTATAATAAACATCCCTTATCTTAATAAGAGGCAGGAAATAAGCCACTACTTAATAGGGAGAATTGTTTCTTAAACTAAAGTGTGTCTATGTTTTTTTCCTGCTGCTCTGATCAATCTCTGAGCTAATTGGTTTGTATTTCATTTGACAATAATTAAGTAGTTTTAAATATATAAAGAAACCCACCTTGCAAATGGAATATAGGATATGCTGTACCTGTAAATAAATAAAAGAGACATTATTTCATGTCAGATAAAGACGTAAATGTTTATCACACAAAATGTAATAGCATTCACTTTCGTTTGTTACTTTGCAAATAGTAAAATAAGAATCAGGATTGCAATATTTTTTATAGCTTCTTGAAAGCCATTTTTGATCATGTCTGAAATACTTCAGTGTACAATTTAATCACTGTCCATGTGGAAATGATCAAAGTGAAAAAATAATGCATGGTTTAACACAATCGATTTGTCAGAATTAAGCTAACTTATTAGTTAACATAAAATGATTAAGTTGTCCCAAAAAGCCTCAAG